TATTTTAGTTTTTCCAATTTCATGTTAACGGCCCTTCTGTTAGAATGCATCCTTGTAATATACCCATAGTGGTGAATATACCCTTATACATTGAAATTAAAACTTTTAATACCAAAATAACACCTTTCATTGGAAATCCTAATGTACGGGGGTTTCTCCATACATAGCCTTTTATGGCATATAAATCGATATTCCCTACTTGTGCAATATCTAGGCATTTTGTGTTATATTTGAAATATCCTGGGTAATAGCACCAGCTTTAATATTTTGTATGTGGATGTGTGTTAGTGAATTTACTCACTCAGCATATCCCATAACCATTTAACATTTCTCGTTTAGGTTGAAAATGTGTTAACATCGTTCATTTGAACGTTCTTTCATATTGCTGTTGATGTCGATGTCGTCGATGTTGTTGTTGCAGTTGATGATTATCATCTGCTTCGTCGACTGTGAAATTTCTAAAAAAAATTTTTAGTTTTCCCTTTCCTTTTTTGTTGCTTTATTTACATCCCTCTAACCTCTCCTATACACAGATATACCATGAAATATAGATATACTATACCGCACAGATAGATGGAATAAATATTGATAGGACAAATTTTTGTATCAGCAAAAAAAAAAAAAAAAAACAATTTTCGTTACAAATTAAATTTTCAATACTGATGTTAAAGGAAATGAAACGAGATTACAATTGAAAAAAATTACAATTTTGTATTTAATACAAATGTGTTGAAAACATTTTGCCGTAAAATAAACGCATGTAAATATTATCGAAATCAATGCAATAAAAGAATCATTCTGATATTATTTAGAAAGGAAGGAGCAACAGTAGCAAAAAGTAATTTCTTTGCATTAACTATAAAAAAGGTTTCTTTGCGACAAGGGAGAAAACATCTTATTTTCCACCTTTTTTTCTTTTTCCTCGGCAAGTGTTAGTAACAACTAACGTTGTTGTTGTTGTTCTTAATGCTTTTTCATGCTACTGGCCAGAGTTTTCTTTTCTCTGGAATGAGGTGTAACTTCTTTCTCTGTGTGCACTGACACCATTCGCGCAGCATCTTTCTTTCGTTCTTTCACTGCTACATTACTTCCTTTCGACAACTTCCATATCCGCGTAGAACAAACTTTACTTTTGGTCTTCGGCATTTCCGTACAAACAACATCGAAATTAAAAATGTAAACAAATGTTTATTCCTGCGGAGATTTTTCACATCGTGTTTTTGCCTTTCCTTTCCAGCAGCTGTCGGATTTTGGACATTGAAAGACAAGTGTTTTATTTCTTGTTTCCTTTGAGTTAAAGTACAAAATGAAGAAAAGAAGAAAAATGTGTTGAGAAGTGATTATGTTTGGGGGTAGTAATGCTGTTATAAGGATTTTCCGAGACGTCCAACAATGTGAAAAATGTAATGATATTGGTAATATTGAGTTTATGGGCGACAAACTTGAAAATTTATAACTATAAATATTTTCAATTAAATGTTTAAAACTTAAAACGGGCTGATATTTCCACAAGTCCCACCATAGCAAGGATGAGGAAAAATTCTTACAAAGAGTAAACGTCTATATAGCTCCCGATAAAAATAACTGTATAACTTTCAGAAAATCGAAAATGTTGCGGAAGGTTTTAGGTGTGAAGTCTGAAACAAGAGCTCTTAAATAGTTGGACCAAGATCCGCGTTTTTTTTATCCGCGTTTTTTTTATCGCATTTCAACTTAATGGATAAGTTGCAGAATTGTCAATTTTGTAGTGAATTCAGAAAAAGTCTCATCATTGGTCCGTACTTCTACTTTTGCGAAGCTAAACATAAATGTAATGCTCTGCGCTACCGTGTAATGCTATTCAATTTGTTTTCCTACAATACAAAAGCTTGACTTTTAGGTGTACCTGGATCTGAGTTTTAACATGTCTATTCCAATGATTTTCTTGAGACTATTCAGGGCATATAACAACTATTTCGCAATTTCATTATGCAAATTATCACGAAAAGAATATTAATACATTTCATTGGAAAACAACGCAGTAGCGGTCAACAATTACAAGAATTTTTTTCAAACTTTTTTTTGTTTTTCCAAAAAAGTTAGGCTAAATGTCAGTTTGTTGTTTTTATAAAAAAACAACTATTTATTGGTGGGGAATGTATGGCAGTTTCGGATCTCGCCACTGATCCTCATCAGTTCCCTTGTTTTTTGTTGGGATATTCCCCCCGAGGCTATTTATATATTCTTTACAAAAAACCGTTCATACCCAAATGTCTCTTGTAACAAATCGAAGTTATTACGTTACCAGCGATACCACCAAAATTAGAAGTTCCTTGGTGCCTGACTTCGTGGTTAAGAAGGCATTTGGAGAGCAACTGCAATACATTTTTTCGGAAGAAAATATTTAAGTGAGCTATATCTACATCTGATCCGATTCCAATGAATCTTAACAAACGTTATTGCAGAATCAATTTAATACATTATCCAAAATTTGATCTCCGGCTTTTTGTCTACTATTTACATAAAATCGAACGGAAATATATATGGAAGCTATATCTAATCATGAACCGATTTCTCCAAAATTTTACACACGTTATTCTAGACTCAATTCAATAAAAATTTCGTCCCAGCTGGTTTGTGTATCACGTAAAATCGGACGAAAATATATATGGGAGCTATATTTTTACCTGATCCAATTTCAATGAATCTTAACACACTCTATCCTAGACTCAATTTCATGTTTTATGCCAAATTTTGTGTCAATCTCATTTTTTCATTTTTTTTTTTTCATTCGCACTTTTTTTCAATAATTGTAATCATCTCTACAGATAATAACTCGGCCCGTCCCTTTTGATCCAATCGACAAGTAAGGTTCAATTACCCGCCATACCATAAATCTCACCGAACATTTACACGTTGAGGATGGAAAGGTTTCTAATAACTCTTGGATTTTCCGAGCCCCAGATAGACGTATTTTACGTTGGGGTCCTAATACTTTTAGAAGCAATGTTACGAATTTTTAACGATCGGCCGGCTTGAGTTCTTGTGCGACAAAATAGAGGTCATGATCTGGGCGTGGGAAATTCCTTTACATTAACACTTTGTCAATATAAAATTATATATATATTTTTTTATTACATATGTTAAGACCTGATTATGGACTTCAAATTTTCTCCATATCCCATTTATGATAGTTGCATTAAATATGCCTATAGAAAATGGCACACGCAATTCGGCACCGAACAATCAAACAATCTTTGGTGCATAATTTGGTTGGTGCATCTCTATATTATCAGATTCATTAACACTAGATTTCCGAAGGCAGTCATTTTGACCGTTTTTCAATTTCAAGTACAAAAACAATTGTGTATATTATGACCCAGCTTTTTAAAATTTGATGGCTTTTTGTACCACATAGAACTACGTTTATTAATCATAGTAGCTGCTTCCTCCCCTCTTTCATTCCCCGTATTCACATGTGCTATACCTATATTGCCTAAAATCTGTCATTTTGACCTTTTGTGAAATATTAAATAATCAAACTACTTCTATTATTGTATAAAGTAAATTTCGAAACCCGTTTGCTACTCTAGAAACACAAACGAACATGCAAATCGGAAAAAATAAATTTTACATTTCTAGTCGATTTCACTCTTAGAGTAAAGACTTCCTCTTCTTCGAACATTTTATCCGCGCTATTATTTTTCAAAAGGGGAAACTCGAGAGCCCTACCACCGAAAACAAATAATAACAACGTTTTGTATGATTGTAAATAATGTAAAAAATATTAAAAAAATAGTTAAAAAAATTTCTTTACACAATATAGGTATATGCAAAATTCTCGTCTTTCTAGTGTTAAGAATATATGGTCACTCAAAGGGTTTAGCATATGGATGGCTGCTAATTTTCCATATGTTGCGTTAAGGTGTTTCCGGCTATTGCAATTTTTGATTGAAATTGCATGTCTTCAGTCAAATTGAATGCGAATACTTTTATAAAATATATCCTCTTATATCTTCATTCCTTGTCCGTATTTTTCTTCCTTATTCGTTTAAAACCTAAACTAAATGCCACAAGACGTGATTTTTTGACAGCCAAATACTCTAAAAAAATGTCGCTCATAAGATTTCAGATATGGCCCTCAAAAACATTTAATCGAAATTCGTATGATTTCATCGTCCTTTTCTAACGTTACTGGATTTTTGTTCAGATCACTCGGAATAAATTATCTGTTTAGTGATTAACTTTTTCGACATATTTAAAGATTTAGTACCCGCATTTTATAAAAGAAAGGTTTATTATTCGGCCTTTTTCGGTAAATCACTTTCAAAATAAACGGCTCATATAAAGATTTCGCCTATATCTTCTTATTTATATATTCCTATTTTTCTGCTGAAAATATGAAAGTATTTAGTCGAAGTGCCATAAGTTTTCACATTCCTGGCCTTATTCTTAAGAAAGTTTTACAGAAATGATACAAGAATGTTTGATGAAGAACAATATTTTCTTTATTCTCTGTGGCATTCCCTTAGAGAATATTTGTGTGGAGTAAAGACAAATTACAACAAGAAATTGGAATGCCGAAAGTAGTTGAAATTATTTGTTCACCATGAAATTGAAGTTCAAAATCAAAAATGTTTCCTCAAGGCAAATAGCATTAATGTTACCACAAAGTACATATTAAACGTACACATATATTTATAAAAATTGTGTGTAACGACATCAATACTAATATCAATTTTCTTACTTACCTTTCATTACAGATTTAATGGTCTTCTTGCTTCTGAAGGATTTATCGAAAAACTTTAAAGTTTTGGCTTTCGTTGCATAAATAACCGCCCTTCGAAGGCGGTGGTGGTTGGTTGGGCTTCATTCTTAATTTCAACTTTTGTTCCTTAAGTTTTTGTTCTCAACATTCAAACTCAAGCTAAGCTGTAAAACTTTACTACTTCTACCACCACGCACACGTCTCACATTTATCATCATCGTCATCATCCTGTCAAGCATCAAGTTGATATCGTCATGGATCATGCTGTGAAAGCTACACGTGGTCGTCCTTGGAATACCCTGCGTTTCGAAAATGATGAACTGGAGTGTCTGTATCAACGTTACACCCTTAAATTGCAACGATTTTCGGTGCTGGGCGTGGTGGCCCTGGTTGTGGTGCTATGTGGTGTAATGGCCGCCTTATCCTTTGTCTACAATTACACTGCAACATTTCATGTAAGTGTTGAATTCTTTAGAATTATTGCAAGTGTTATTTTATTGTTTCTTTTTTTTTCTTTCCAGAATGTCTTCAATTCATTTGTGTGCCTACTATTTGCCATAATTTTAATTTTGTTGCAATGTCGCGTGATCAAGGATCATCATTTACCCTGCCTTTGCTATGGCATTCTATTATTTACTGCTGCCATTTGTTTTGTTTCGATGCCGACATTGGGTTCCATATTTCCGGTTGACACCAAGGAGGTAAGTTTCAGTTTTTTGTGTGAAAATATTTTTTGGGTCAAAGGTGTTTTTTGGAAGTTTAGTATTTTGACAGTGTTTTTGCATTTTAGAAATATATATATATATATATGTATATAGATTAGTTTTTGTACAGACGGCTTTAAATGTTAACATGAAATGTTTGACATGAAGTTTTTAGCTAAATAATAAATTAAGGAAAAGGAAAAAATATTTATGTCTGCCAATGTTGGGCGGAGTTGTAAAACAATTTTAAAATTTGGTTTTAATACTTGTTCTAAGAGGGAAAAAAGATTAAATACAATTACAATTAAATATAATTCCACTTTAATACAAATACAATTAATTTTCCATAATACTCATAATACTTGTTAATGTTATTTCATAAATTAACAACAACAAAAACGAAAATAAAAATACGTCCTTTTTACCCGCACACATTACACATGTATGTATTGCACATTATGTATCCACATCATCACTTAGTTACAGTAATTAATTAAACATATTTAATTAATTGTATATTCAAATTATTTTCTTTGAAAAAAAAAATAATAAAATAAACAAAAGGATGCAGCCGAGGTAATAAATTGTAAAACCGTAAAAAATTTTAAAGACAAAAGTAAAATTAAAATCATTATTGGATTGTAGTTTACAATAGGAGTCATTAAAGTCATGTAATTGATTGCAAAAAAAAAAAAAAAACAAGTGAAAAACGTTAAGTTCGGCCTGGCCGAACTTTGGATACCCTCCACCATAGAAATACTGAAAATTTTTGAAATGAAAATATAGGGAACATACATATAACTACAATTCTACCAATCGATTGTTGTAAACCAAATCGAAATTGCAGCAATTCTAATGGAGGTTTACATGTGTATAAAATCCTGAAAATACTCCAATTAGGGGGCAAATTTATATGAAAGCGGGACCAATATTGGCAACATTGTGTAGGAATTTGCGAATACTTGGTGTTTTCATTATATAAGAGGTTATACCTAATTAAGAGCCGATATAGCTCAAGCTCCAAGCTAATAATTTAGTTTTGAATCCCAATGCCGTGCATCACGCTAAATATTAAATATGTAGGATGTTTTTATAGGACCTGGGCCTAAATGCGTGCCGATATAGTTCCTTCTCAAACCTCACGTTCCAGTTTTTATGGCTAAATCGACTAAATCGTTTTAGAATTCCATAAATTGCAGGGTATGAACTGAAGAATACCCCCCTTTCTTTGGTGGAATACAGCTATATGGAGATAACCCCAACACCCGGAACAAATTAGCTAACAATTTTAATGTAAACATGGGGTTATATGAGGACTAACCCTAAAATGGGGTGAATATTAATAATTTTTGGTAGGGAGATTTGTTACCATATACGACTACAAAATACCAAATTACAGCAAATTCGGTTGAAAAAATACCGAAAATAGGAGTGTACCCTTATATGGGGGCTACCAGAAAATGTGGACCTATGTTTTTAATTTTTAGTTTAGATATTTGGCACCAAACAAGAACCCAATGTACCAAATTTCAAAAAACGCGCTCAAGAACCCCATAATACCGACATTTTTGGGGTACCCTTATAAGGGGGCTACCAGAAAAAATGGACCTATATTTATAATTTTTAGTGGAGAGATTGGGTTCCCACTAGCAACTCAATGTACAAAATTTCGGCGAATTCGGTTGAAAATGGCGCTCAAGAACCCCAAATAAGTAAAATAAGTAAATAATGGGAGCTATGTCTAAACGTGGACCAATATATCCCATCTTCGAACTTGACCTGCTATCTCTATTCGTTTAGACGCTAGATTGATTACAACAGACGGACATGCTTAGATCGTCTTAGAATTTTACCCTGATCAAGAATATATATACTTTATAGGGTCGGAATTGAATATTTCGATGAGTTACAAACGAAATGACAAAATTAATATACCCTCCATACTATGGTGGATGGTATAAAAAAAACACACACAACAGCAACAACAAAAAATGTTACATAGGCTATTAATATCATTATCACGTGCAGTAAATGAATTCCCTCATACCATTTGTCTGCGCTTAAAATTCATGATTTAATAAACCCTCACAAAAATATGTCTTTTTCCATTTTGAAGATTTAATCGGCATGCAAGTTATGGTCTGATCAGCCTTAAATTGTTTTCAACCTCGATCTTTTCATTTCTATGAATATTTGTACCCTCCAATTGCCTGATAAGTTTTCAAAAATATCCATAAATAATTCAATTGAAAAACACGTTTCAGGGCATTAACCCCTTTTCAAAAATGGGTTTAAACATATTGCTTATAGCGATTTTAAGCTATCGTTGTTAATACTTGTATAGATACATTGATAAATGACGGGCTAGGCAATGCCATTTTTGCTAGAAATATTTGACACCCAATGAGAACCAAATTAGAGCAAATTATGTTAAAAACGTACTCAAAGTGCCGATATCGATATGTTAGATAGTTTTGCTAACCAATGGGAACTCAAAGTAACAATTACATGCAATTTAGTTGAAAATGTGCCAAAAAATCCCCAAACTTCGAATCAGTTGGGGGGTGATATATACAAGCTCTACCAATCCTAGAGTAGTAGAGTAACTGCGGGTAATGTGGACTACCATTTCCTTTTTTTATATTATAGACTTAACAACTTTAAAAACAAATTATTTTCACATCATAGTAGATATGTTGTCTAAATATATTACAGGTCAAACATTATATATTTTTATATAAAAAAGTTATTGCATTTTATAAAACAAAAACGCAAAACTACGATATAAATAACTTGGCGACTAATGTGGATCAGTAAGTGAAAAAGCATGCTGTGGATTGTTTGTGATCAAATTATATTCATTTCAATTTTAGGTAAAAATGAATGCAAAAATATATGGGTTCATGTTTTGGAATACCCCGTATTTAAAACTATTTTTGAAGTCCTAGCTTCATTATCCAACTGAAAACAGCTGTAATTTCCCATATCGCAGAAATGTTTTTAATAAGGGTCTATATTTCGAATTGGTCTCCATAAAAAGGTCCCGATTTTTTAAATCAAATTAAATCAAACTTAATACTCACCCAGCCAAACGTTCGAATTTGTTGTGGAAAATATTTATTTAATTTCAATACAGGTCGCGACATAGTTTTGTAAACTTTTGATAAGCGTCTCAGTAGACTTCCATTTGTAATCTTTTGATAAGCTTTCATTCTTATTCATATTTAAAAAAGCAACTTTTTATCATTTAAAAAAAGCCAAACTTAAGTCTAATTTTTAAAAATCTACACGTATAGTTCGACGACTCTTTCCAAATATTTGTAAAACTTCCACTACTAAAAGTCAAAAATGTCTTAAAAATATTTGGTTTATATATTTAAGGAATATATATTTATACCCTTCACCACACTGTGGTACAGGGTATTATGTCTTTGTGCATATGTTTGTAACAGGCAAAAATAATCGAGATAGACCCATGGTTCCTTTTGAGAATATGCATAGAATCACTTTCTGAGTCGATTTATGCATGTCCGTCCGTCCGTCTGTCTGTCTGTCTGTCTGTCCATGTTAAATTGTAAAAAAAGTACAGGTCGCATTTATGATCCGAATTGGATGAAATTTGGCATAGGTCACTTATTCGGCCCAAGGACGAACCCTATTGAAATTGGGAAAAATCGGTTCAGATTTAGATATAACTCCCATATATATATTTAACCGATTTAATGTAAACGGTCCCTATATATCTTTCGATTTGCACGAAATTTGGTACAGGCTAATCATTTAGGCCTATAATGATGTCTGCCAATTTTCGTGAAAATCGGTCCAGATTTAGATATAGCTCCCATATATAGTTTCGTCCGATTTCATGTAAATGGTGCCCCAAAGTCCCTATATATCTTTTGATTTGCACGAAATTTGGCATGAAATTTGGCATAACGCACTGAATTAAGCCTAGAGTGATGTCTGCCAAGTTTCGAGAAAATCTGTCCAAATTTAGATATAGCTCCCATATATAGTTTCGTCCGATTTCATGTAAATGGTGCTCTAAAGTCCCTATATATCTTTCGATTTGCACGAAATTTGGCATAACGTACTGAATTGAGCCTAGAAGGAAGTCTGCCAAGTTTCGAGAAAATCGGTCTAGATTTAGATATAGCTCCCATATATAGTTTCGTCCGATTCCATGTAAATGGTGCACCAAAGTCCCTATATATCCTTCGATTTGCACGAAATGTGGCATAACGTACTTAATTGAGCCCAGAATGATGTCTGCCAAGTTTCATGAAAATCGGTCCTGATTTAGATATATCTTCCTTATATAGTTTCGTCCGATTTCATGTAAATGGTGCCCCAAAGTCCCTATATATCTTTTGATTTGCACGAAATTTGGTACAGCCTAATAATTTAGGCCTAGAATGATGTCTGCCAAGTTTCGTGAAAATAGGTCAAGATTTACATATGTTTCCCATATATAGTTTCGTCCGATTTCATGTAAATGGTGCACCAAAGTCCCTATATATCCTTCGATTTGCACGAAATTTGGCATAACGTACTGAATTGAGTCTAGAATGATGTCTGCCAAGTTTCGTGAAAATAGGTCAAGATTTACATATAGCTCCCTTTTATTATAGATTGATTTTATGTAATTGACGCACCAAGAACCAATAAGAACAAAACGGTCTGAAATTAGTATAACCTATCCTGTGACAAGTTTGTTTGAAATCGCTTAATATTTGAATAGAGCTTCCATATATATTTTCGCCCGATTTCAAGTAAATTGGGCATCAAACTCCTCATGTTAGTCAGTTTGACATCAAATTTTGCACAACGTACAAAATTGAGCATAGAATTATGTAGTTGCGTTTTCTAGCAGTACAGACATAGCCCAACGGATGACCCATTTATATTTGTTTGAAGTCGATTTACATACTTTATGGATAGATCTACGTAGATTCGCATTTAGATAAATATCACATATTTTATTTCATCCAATTTCATGCTAATAGTCCTGTTTAATATACCCATAGTGGTGAAGGGTATCATATAGTCGGCCGCGTCCGACTTTACTACTTTCCTTACTGGTTTTCATATAAACCAGTGAACGGAGCAGTATAGTCGTATGGAACCGACTATATGATACCCTTCACAACTACTACTGAAATCCAACTTTCTGTGGTTCTGGCCTGCACCCTCAATATTCTAATTAGTTGGCCAGATCTACAACTCCGTATAACATTTGTAATGTTCGGCGTAGAAAATGCAATATTTAATGTAAAAGTGTGGGTTAATTTGCCCAGCTAAATACTGACCGATTATCATGAAAACGCCCACGCTTATTCCATGGACATATTGATTTCATCCTGCAAAATGTCGGTATGTTCGGGCGACCAGAAAAACATACAAAAATAAAGTTTTGGTACATACATTAACCGATCATTACATGCAAAATTTTGTGATGATTGGTCCATAACTGTGGCCTGTATCGTGTTTACAAATTATAATGAGATATGTAGATCGGTGTGCTAGAAGTGGTGGGCACATAAAGCTGTAATAATAATAATAATGTGTAGGGTATACAAATATTTTATAAATAAAATCTACTATTATGGTTTGAATGATTCCATGGAAGAATATCGCAAACAAATACTTAAGTCCGCAATTATAGTCTTATTTGACATTCTCGAAAGTAATCAATTTTAATTTTAAGGGAACCCCACCCATTCTCGATTTTAATTTTTCAAGATTTTCAATGGGCTGGTATATCAATACCAATGCTTGTTAAGGTTTGTAACTTTGCACATATATATTTAAAGATTTAAAAAATAAGAAAAATTATTTTTTGTTGTTTTGTTATTGTTTTTTGTAATTAAAGAAAAGTCCTTATTATCGCTCTAAAATTAACAAAATAGCGGACCTTTGAAAAAATATTTTTGGAAAATCGCCGATTTTTACCACAAACTAAGTTGAAAAATAAAGAAGATCTTCTCCGATTGGCTTTATCCTAGTTCATACTATAGCTATACACTCACAGAGAAATGTGTAAAAATTTGGAATCGATTGGGTTATTAGTTTTTGAGTTATCGTGCCCGCCATTCGCAAAAGAGAAAAGCGCGTTTAAAGTTTGAGAAGCCCTTTAGCCGTCACTTGATGCTGACACAATAAATCGGCTATATCTTCAAGAGTTCTTGAGATTTTCACTTGAAATTTTGTAGGAACATTCTAGAATTAGAGTAGATTCGAATTAAATCAAAAATTTTTTTGACACCGAGAATGGGGGGGTCCCCTTAAAAGGGAATTTTAAATATATCTCTTATAGTTCAAAGATTGCTAAAAAAAAGTATTTTAAAACCCGTGAGCGGAGCAGTATAGTCGGACAGGGCCGACCATAAGATACCCTACACAACTTTCACGAAAATCTAACATTGTGTGGTTCTATATTCTGATCTTGGGCAATATTTGCACTCTCTTGACCTTTACCGTGGGTTATGTTGTTATGTTCGGCTTTCAATTGTGGCCTGTGGTTTTCGGTCCACTTTATCCCAATATTATTATCTGATCATCACCGGAAATTATAAGCGCTGTCCTTGAGCATACCTGGATCCTCATGGAAAATTTCAAAGCGATCAACGCTATATTTTCGCCCTCTAGTGTGGTAATGGGTTACTAAATAATATTTGAATACGTAAGCACCTGTAAATATTTAAGTGTAACTCCCACATCCGAGTAAATACGACAATGTAATTTGTATCAATTTAAAGGTCAACCACTCCTCTTGGATATTCTATCAAATTCTTGGGTCTTTGTTCTTCAGGGGTAAATATATACGTCATAGAATACAAATTTTGTCATTTTTCACACAAAAGTCAGGGCTCATTTGACCCGCTAAATATTGACCGATCAAAGCATGCATGCTTATTCTCTGGCCCGATCCCCTTTTCCATGCAAAAATTCGCGGGGTTTGGGTCAAAATTGCGGCCTCTGGAGCGACCAGAAAAACCGACAAAAATTATGTTTTTGGTCCATTTCATCCCCTAAACAAAATTTCGTGAAGATTGGTCCATAACTGTGGCCTGTATCGTGTTTACAAATTATAATGGACAGACGGACAGACGGACGGACGGACACACATGTCTAGATCGACTCAGCTAGTCGAGATATGACGATCGGTATACTTAAAGGTGGGTCTAGGACCAATATTTCGCGGCGTTACAAACTTTTGGGGCTGCACAAAGCTATCATACCCTGACAACATAAACTGAAGAATTTAATGATTATACATCCAAACAGTCCGTTCGGAAAGCACTATTTTTAAAATACTCAAAATATAGCTCGACGGATCCTGATGGCTAAAAAACGACTTATCTAAATTGCTTCAATATATTATATATATTTTGAAAAAAATAGGCTTAAAGTCAGAATAGCTTTTCAAAATAATTGTAACAAAACAAATTTAATGCTTGTAGATGAATTTGTTTGTTAAAAAAAACAAGCACATAGTTTTCTCGAAGACAATTAAATAATGCACTCTCATGCCTCGAATACTCATTTCAGTAATTATAAGGATAGGATTCTACAATCATAAAATATCATCAAGTTTAATACATAGAAACACAAAATAAAATCATGTTACTTCTTAGAATATAGTTAGAAAGACACATAAATAACTGTAGAAAATAAAAGGATAAGAAATAGTAAAAAGCACACAATTTAAATAGATCTTTAGCATCATTCTTAGCAATATCTCTAGATTTAGTTTGATTATATTGCTTCAGATGTGGTTATCCCCTGTTGATTTTAATAATTTTGCGAGATTTACATTTCTTTTTCTTATATTTTTCTCTCCCATTTTTTCCAACAGGTCATGGCCGAAGGTGTATGGCAAATAGTGTTTGTGGTCTTTTTGGCTTATGCCATGATGCCATTACAAATCTGGGAAGCTGTTTGCTTTGGCATTACACTACCCCTGGTGCACATCAGTTTGACTGTCTATAAAATATTTACAGATGCATTTCGTTATTTGGAATATAATCAGGTAAGTGCAGCAAAAGGTTGGATGGCTGGCTGGCGGGTTGACTCACTATGAATGTCTGGCCTGGCTAGAGAGAAATTTGCTTTATAAATAATTGCATATAAATTGAATTGGAATGCTCGAATGGTTATTAAATTTAGTGGTTGGCCAAGTGCAGTCAGACATGTGTTTTGTTTAAAAACACAGAGAGAAAGAGACGTCGACAAACAGACAAGTGGCTTGAAAGGTAAATTAACATAAAATGAACAACATTGCCAGCGAGCGATTTTTTGTCTGCTAAGTTTGTATATCTGCGGGCAGACAGTTAATTTTCAGGGACAATTTTTTACCCAACTTGGACATGGAGAAATAAAACAAAAAGACAACATAGTAACATGTGTTGGTAGTATACCAACAATTTGTATACACTTACATACATACAGAAGCACAAAATTAAGTAAATTTCCAATGTTTGTACGTAACAGGAAATGTTTTCATTTCCTTGTTCTGGTGACCTATCCTCATATTTATTAGCCTTTGGTCAAGAAAGGTCAACTGTCATGTAGTATTTATTCATTTGCTGACAGACAGTAAGCTGTGGTTGTATGTTTTGCTTGATTAGCAGCCAGTCGGGCGTATGGGTAATGTTAACTGTAATCTGCTGTATAATTTAATATTCATACGCACCCGAGTACTTATCACAAAAATAACCCGTATTATTTATTCATAATGGGAAATTATATTAATGCTACGGCATGGAAATGTCAAATTAAATTGCAGAAAGCATAGTTAAATTGTTGCTTATATTTAAATTTAATAGTCAAAATGTCGCAAGAATTTGAGAGAAATGGCTTAGGAACTTAAATGAAAGAGAGCCTCATGAGACATTAGATTTTCTATAAAGAAACCAAAGGGAAATACCCCTTTTCAACAATATTTCAATAGGTTTTTAAACGAACTTTAACTTTTTTGGAGGCTTTCAACATTTTATTTGTATTTATTTAAAGACTTCTGGGTTTGACCCTAGTCGTGTAGACTAGAAACACCCAATTTCATGAGTTTTCCAAGAAAATATTCCGATGCTGTTTCATAAATTGCCGCCTACGAAACACATGCAAAAAATATGGTTTGCGAGCTAATTCGAACTCTGACATGGTTGTACCGATCAATATATATTTTTGTGTGCTCAATAACTACCGCTAAAATATAAAGGGTTATTTTGGCAATACTGGTCCGAATATTCAATTCTTTTGGTACCTTCCACTCAAAGGGTTGTTATTTTATAAAGTTGTAAATATGATACGAAGTGAACAGATTGGCCGATTTGATCAAAATTAAATCCGAAACCTCTTTCATAAAAACATATGGGAAATTACAAAATTCTTTTAAAATTCATGATTTTTGGTACATAAGTTAAGAAAAATATGCTGATTTTAAACCTGTTCGCGTTTACAAATACGGATGCTGCTTACAAAAGTTATGGCGGTTGTAAATCTTGTATTTCAAATATAAATTAAATGAATTCCTATTTGCTGTAATTCGCGATTTTTTTCACAAAAGGTTAAACACATTTGTTTTCTTTGCATACTAGTGAAATCACATTGAAATACGGTATAATAGTCGCCAAAAACAAATAGAAGCATAAAGATATCTGAAAATAAAATAAATTAATGTTTTAATTAAGACAAAACGTTTTTTTTTTTTTGAATTTTCGATTTTTTAGTATGGTTAAGGGAATAAAGTTTTTAGTATATGCCACGCTTTCTTCTTCAAATTTCTTTAGGTGATTTTTAAATATCGGTAAATTGATCTGATAAGAGTTTCGACTTAAAAAAAGACCAAATATATTGCAGTTACAGTATATGAAAATGATCAACATTAAAAAAGCATGCAGTTCACGTATTCGTTGAAATCAGTTGATGCGCATGCGGTTTTCGTATAAACCGAATCAATCTCTTCCAATAATTATACATTTTTCGAGGTTTCATTAAACGGCTAAAGGTGCCGCTTGATGTACTTTACTATGCAAAAACCCTAAAAATGTCTGAAAATGACGCAACGTGCATACGATTTTTATGCGCATTCGGTTTCAGCAATCTCCTACGAAAATACACAAAAGTACACATATTATAAAAGAATTGGTTAAGAACCGCGGATGTGCGGCCACAGTCAATTTTGTATAAAAACGCGTACTATTCGCTCATCGATGTATTTTTGACCTATTTCCACACAGATTCGCGAATATGATAATACAAACATGAATGTATGTAAAATCAATTCGAAGAAAAACTCGATTATATACGCGAATTAGTCAAAATACTTTATGGAGTTTTTCCCACATTCAAGCTACATATATCCGCTGTTTTATTGGACGTATAAAAAACTAAAATCACGTGGGGTTCTACGGCATTTGAATGGACCTTACTAAATTTAGACTCAAAAAATAGGTTTTTTAAAAAAATTAAGCACCAAATGTTCGTCTTTGGAATCCAATAGTAAAGAATCTACGGTGAGCATATTCAAGAGATATGCACTAAACGAAGCAAAATCACGTGTTCTACAATCCTATAATCAGTTTAGACCATTATCTGGTTGCGCGTCCTGATTATAAGAAAAATTCAAAAAAACACCAAAAATCAGTCTTCAAAATGTCAGCATCCGTTTTGAGTGGATGCAGTGATTATATCGAAAAATCATACATTAGAACCATATTGTCCTGGGGGATGCATCAACGCACGCATATGTGATCAGTGAGATTTTGCGTTGTGTGTTGGCTTCAACACATTTTCACCCATTTGTATACCCTCCACCATAGTATGGAGGGTATATTAACTTTGTCATTCCGTTTGTAACTCACCGAAATATTCATTTCCGACCCTATAAAGTATATATATTCTTGATCAGGGTAAAATTCTAAGACAATCTAGCCATGTCCGTTCGTCTATCTTCCCAAGGAATTTAGATAGGGTGCTAAAGTTTTGCATAGGGTTGTCTATTGTCTGCAGGCAGGTCAAATTCGATATATCGGTCAACGTTTAGGCATAGCTCCCATATAAGGGTACCCCCAAATTTTCGGTATTTTGGGGTTCTTGAGCGCGTTTTTCAACCGAATTCGCTGAAAGTTGGTACATTGGGTTCTTATTAGGTACTAAATGTCGCCACAAAAAATTATAAATAGAGGTCCACTTTTTCTGGTAGCCCAATATAACGATACCTCCTAATCTTCAGTATTTTGGTACTTTGATTTCTAAATAGGTTTCAAATCACTCTACAAAAAATTATGAATATAGGTCCATTTTTTATGGTAAACCCCCATATAAGGGTACCCTAATTTTCGGTATTTTGGGGTTCTTGATCGTGTTTTTCAACCGAATTCGCTGAAATTTGGTATATTGGGTTCTTATAGGGTACCAAATATCTCCACTAAAAATTATAAATATAAGTCCATTTTTTCTGGTAGCTCCCATATAAGGGTATCCCCAAATTTCGGTATTTTGGGGTTCTTGAGCGCGTTTTTCAACCGTAATCACTGATATTTGGTATATTGTAGCCGTATATGGAAACAAATCTCCCTACAAAAAATTATTAATAGTCAACCCCTTTTAGGCGTAGTCCCCATATAACCCCATTTTTATACCCTTCACCACACTGTGGTACAGGGTATTATGTCTTTGTGCATATGTTTGTAACAGGCAAAAGGAAACGAGATAGACACATGGTTCCTTTTGAGAATATGCATAGAATCACTTTCTAAGTCGATTTATGCATGTCCGTCCGCCCGTCCGTCTGTCCATGTATTTTTGTGAGCAAAGTACAGGTCGCATTTATGATCCGAATTGGATGAAATTTGGCACAGCTCATTTGTTTGGCCCAAGGACGAACCCTATTGAAATTGGGAAAAATCGGTTCAGATTTAGATATAGCTCCCATATATATATTTAACCGATTTAATGTAAACGGTCCCTATATATCTTTCGATTTGCACGAAATTTGGTACAGCCTAATCATTTAGGTCTAGAATGATGTCTGCCAAGTTTTGTGAAAATCAGTCAAGATTTAGATATAGCTCCCATATATAGTTTCGTCCGATTTCGTGTAAATGGTGCCCCAAAGTCCCATATATCTTTCGATTTGCACGAAATTTGGCATAACGTATTGAATTAAGCCTAGAGTGATGTCTGCCAAGTTTCGAGAATATCGGTATATTTAGATTTAGATTTAGATATAGCTCCCATATATAGTTTTGATCGATTTCATGTAAATGGTGCACCAAAGTCCCTATATATCCTTCGATTTGCACGAAATTTGGCATAACGTACTGAATTGAGCCTAGAGTGATGTCAGCCAAGTTTCGAGAAAATCGGTCCTAATTTAGATATAGCTCCCATATATAGTTTCGTTCGATTTTATGTAAATGGTCCACCAAAATCCCTATATATCTTTCGATTTACACGAAATTCGGCATAACGTACTGACTTGAGCCTAGAATGATGTCTGCCAAGTTTCGAGACAATCGGTCCAGATTTAGATATAGCTCCCATATATAGTTTCGCCCGATTTCATGTAAATGGTGCACCAAAGTCCCTATATATCCTTCGATTTGCACGAAATTTGGCATAACGTATTGAATTAAGCCTAGAGTGATGTCTGCCAAGTTTCGAGAATATCGGTCCAGATTTAGATATAGCTCCCATATATAGTTTCGCCCGATTTCATGTAAATGGTGCCCCAATTTAACCTGCCTGCAGACAAAAGAAAATTATTCGCAAAATGTTCTTTTAAGTGATTAAAACTGACAGGGGGACATCAGGGATGGAAAATGAAATATGTTAAAAGGTAACAAAAGAGTACTTTTTATACCCTTCACCACACTGTGGTACAGTGTATTATGTCTTTGTGCATATGTCTGTAACAGTCAAAAATAATCGAGATAGATCCATGGTTCCTTTTGTGAATATGCATAGAATCACTTTCTGAGTCGATTTATGCATGTCCGTCTGTCTGTCTGTCCGTCCATGTATTTTTGTTAACAAAGTACAGGTCGCATTTATGATCCGATTTGGATGAAATTTCGCACAAGTCACTTAATTGTCCCAAGGACGAACCTTATTGGAGAAAATCGGTTCAGATATAGATATAGCTCCCATATATATTTTCGTCCCATTTTAAATTTTTGATGCATCAAACTCCCAATTGTGGTCCGATTGAGACAAAATTTTGCACAGAGTATTGAATTAGGTCCCGACTGATGTATATATATATATATATATAGTTTCGTCGGATTTTATGTAAATGGAGCAACATACTGCCAATATTTATCGGATTGAGACAAAATTTTGCACAGCGTACTAAATTAGGTCATTGATGAATGCGAAGTTTGGTTGAAATCTGTTCAGATTTAGATATTGCTCCCATATATATTTTCGTCCCATTTAATGTAAATAGTACACCAAACTTCCAACAGCGTACTAGATTAGGAAATTTTGTTGGAATCGGTTAAGATTTAGATATACTGCTATATATAGTTTAGTCCGATTTTATGTTAATGGAGCACCATACTGCCAATATCTATCCGATTGAGACAAAATTTGGCACAGCGTACTAAATTAGGTCATTGATGAATACGAAGTTTTGTGGAAAACGGTTCAGATTTAGATATAGCTCCCATATATAGTTTCGTCCGATTTAAAGTAAATTCCCAATATTGGCCCGATTGAAGCAAAATTTTGCACAGAGTACTGAATTAAATCCCGACTGATGTATGCGAAATTTCTATATCTACAGGATATTGTAGATATTAACATGTCTTGCATGTACCCATAGTGGTGAAGGGTATTATATAGTCGGCCCCGTCCGACTGATTTTTCCGCGTTTTGGGTTTGGTTCTAACACTCTGTTGTAATTATTTCACCTGCGAAGGATATCGAGACAAAAAACTAGAACGTACGGTTCGACAATGAACTATATGTGAACTATAGCCCGCATTTAGGCTTAGCCGTAGCCACCGTGTGGGAGGTACCAGAAGGCATGGACCGATATTCCCCAAATTCGGACTTGAACTAATTTTGGAAGACATAATAAGATGGGATGAAATCAAATTTTTCTGAAACGGATTTGGTCCAAAGAAACAGGGAGTCTAGAACCAATATTTCGATGAGGCACCTTTTTTACCGTGTGAAAGTGTATACACACTAATTAGCCATAAGGCTGATGGTATAATTTTCTATTAAAAATTATTGTTTACATAATCGGTTTGTAGAAATGTCGATATAGGTCAATTTTTTGGTATGTTCCCTATATTTTCATTTCAAGTACCTGCCAGTATATCTATGGTGGAGGGCATCCAAAGTTCGGCCCGGCCGAACTTACCGCTTTTTCACTTGTTTTACATTACCACCATCACAGCTTCCACCCATCTTATTATTTATTACCAATATTCTAAGATTTTGACAAGAACACTTTATTTTATAGAAATGAATTAAAATTATATGCAATATGTATGTATTTCGCGAGTTATAAGCTTGCAAACCTCAGTTTCAAGAAATTTAAAGCATTTTTGTAATTTCCCATATATTTTCGTCCGATATAATGTAAATGGTGCACCAAAGTCTTTATATACCTTTCCATTTGCACGAAATTTGACATAGCATATCGAATTGAGTGTAAAATGATGTGTGCTATGTTGGTACACCATTTACATAAAATCGGACGAAAATATTTATGAGAGCTATATCTAAATCGGAAACAATTTTCACCAACTTCAATAGGGTTCGCCCTTGTGCCAAATAAATGAGCTGTGCAAAATTTCATCCAAATCGGGTGATAAATGCGCCCTGTACTTTGTTTACAATTTAACACAGGTGGACAGACGGACGGACATGAATAAATCGACTCAGAAAGCGATTCTATCATATCCTCAAAGGAACTATGGATCTATATCATTTCCTTTTGCTTCGAAAGAAACAATGAAAGCATTTTAGATGATAAATATTCAATATATTTTAAAGAGGCATTCGAATTAAATACATAACAAAATAATACAGTCGCTATATTCCACCTCCATCAAGAGATGGGTACTTATAATAAATAAAATCCGTTGGGACACTTATATCGGGGATCTGTTAAAACATTACCTTTTTCTGTAATGCCTTCTTTTGACCATGTAATTTAGAAAATTTCACTCTTAAATGACGGAAATGAGGTTTGACCTTTGCATGGTGGTTATATTTTTTAATAGACCTATATAAATATTTTTCTGTATCGATGAATGTCAGCCGCTGAAATTTCATACTACATCCACTTCTGTTGGAAAATCTGACTGAAACCTAAAAAAATGTCAAACACCCTCTACATTTGTACTGAAAGACGGACTTGACATGGCAAATCTTATAAATTTATTCTGTTATTATTCGGAATGACAAATTAACATTCCACTTCATGCTGAAGGTATAACAGCAGTAATGGTATATTCCATATTAATTGTCGACATTGAGGCACATTTACAGGGACACTGTGTAGCCATAAACAAGTATTACTGTATTTATCTTATTCACGTAGTCCTACATAATATAAAGTATTTGTGGCGTACTAGTAATATATCTCACAGACAACCTATATAACTTATACGCACATGTGTTTACAACATTTCCCATAAAATATACCAATTAATTATAATTTTTACATATATATCGTATTTAATTTGTTATTGTTGTTTTTCTGTTTTATTATTGCAGCTTATTGCCAACATTGTTATGTTTATTGGTGTTAATGTCGCCGGTCTAGTCGTTAATATTATGATGGAACGTGCACAGCGTCGTGCATTTTTAGATACACGAAATTGCATTGCCGCCCGTCTCGAAATTCAGGATGAAAATGAGAAATTGGAAAGACTTTTATTGTCGGTACTACCTCAGCATGTTGCAATGCAAATGAAAAATGATATCTTATCGCCGGTTGCGGGGCAATTTCATAGAATCTATATACAGAAACATGAGAATGTCAGGTGAGTGAATAATAATAACATTAAATTAATGAATTTAAAAAAATTAACAAAGAGGAAGCAAAATATCACATTACGAGATATTTTGGTTTAATATGATTTATCCCTTTTTGAGAAATGGTTTGTCAATATTTCTGTACGGTTTTAATATTTATATAATTTTGTTTGACTAAAAGATTAACTTTATAAATCAACCATGAAGTATAATGAATTTCCACAACTGCCTTATTTATTAATTTCTTTTTGAATCACCACATAATTATTTATTAATTTTAAAACTTAATTCAAACATATTACCTTCGTTCCTGTTTATTATCTTCCAAATTACAAATAAAATAAACAAATTACTTTATTTGTTTTATTTTACCACAATGTGTTTATTATTGTTGAAAATATATATTTATATTTTTTTATATATACAAAATATTTCGTACATATATTACGCATATACAAAAAAATATGAATAAATAAACCAGCCATGAAGATAAATCCAAACAATGCCAAACTATTTATGCCACATTTTACAATAATATTTGTTCAATAGACAAACAAAATAAATTGTGTCTAAATACACAAATAATATATGTGGTAGAATTTTGGTTTTCTCAATAAATGTAATATTAAAAATTAACAAAATGTTTAAAGGAATTTTTAAACACTAGCTGTTTATATTATAAACTACTGTAAGATTTAATTCAACGCAAGAATAACTATTGAGTCTTGAACTTTTCTATACCCTCAGCCACAATTAAAGTAACATGAAACTTAATTTTAGGTTTATTATTATGCCAAAGAATAAATTATTCTACGCCAAAATCCACTGCAAGTCCCAAAACAAACTATATATTTATATTCAATAGTTTTTAAGAAATTTACAGTATAAAATTATATATAATAACAAAATTTTTTTTGCTGACTTTATTTAATTTTATAATGTAAATTTCTTAAAAACTATTGAATATAAATATATAGTTTGTTTTGTGACTTGCAGTGGATTTTGACGTAGAATATTCTATTCTTTGACATAATATACCTAAAATTAAGTTTCATGTTACTTTAATGCACTTAGTCGAAAAAAATACTGGGAAATGACTTTGGAAATAAATACAAGAACATTTTGAATTTTTGGTTCAAAATGTATGACTATATATTCGGTATATACATTATATATACAGCTTTTTCTTGTTCAGTGACTTATGCTAAAAATTGATGGAGAATATTTTTATCCCTTGTACCATCCTTCTAAAACGTCATCTTGTGGGAAAAATGGGTAAAAACTAGTAATAACTACAATATTAACCCTAAAATGAGTTTTGTTGTTTTAAGTTTTTTGACGTTTAGGCTGATTTTAGAGTTTTATTCTATTCTGAGACTTATAGTAAAACTTTATGGCGAACATTTCTGTAGAATATTCTGAGCAGTTTCAACCCCGTTTTGAATGAGTTTTCAATCACTCCTGGAAAAGGGGACGGAAAAGACCCCTTTAATGAGTCGGTTGAGGGTTAAAGTTGTATACGAAAATATTTCTCGATATTTTGTCAGTAGTATTGCCGAAGAAACTATATACCTAAAATGCAAGGATTTCAAGAAATCATAAATCGAAAATTATCAAAATTCTTGAAAAGGGGGAATATTGCCCCCCTTTTTAGGTTACCTCCCGACGTAAACTTTCAAAACGCCGATACACGTGTCTTCTTTTTTTAGCCTCTCTTTCATAATCTGTTGGAATTTCCCGGTAATTATCGAAAAAATTGAAATTTGTCGCACAGTGTAATTTTCTTCATATATATTTCCGTTTACAAGAACCTGGAATGCCAAATTACAGCCACTTCGTTGGAAAATGTGGTTAAAACCTTAAAAAAAATAAAAATAAAATGGGGCGGAACATTTATAGGAGGACTATGATATTAAAAAACATGGCCCTATTTTAGACTGCTATTTTAGAACCACATATGTTGTAAAAATGCAGGTAACATCTTCAAAGTACCCAAAATAATGCGGTATCGTTATAAGAGAGGTGTACCACAATGATATCATAATCGAAATTTGATTATACTTAGAAATTGGGTTTATTAACTCAATATACGATTCTATCTCATGCCTTTGCTTTACTTTAATTTAAATCCTGTACACATTTTGTTCGAAAAAATATGAAATTGTTGACTTCCTGAAAAATTCTTTAATGTTATTTTTGAGATGACAGTCAAATCGGAAGAGTAATATTTTTGTAAAATTTTGTTGACTTCCAAATATTCTACAATAATATCACTCATAAAATTGTAGGTAACGTCCTCAGAGAAAAGAAATTGACATTCGTATATTTTAATAGTTCTTTTCCACTTTTACACGATATGCATACTATTTAACCTCATATATTGGCGCAATCAAGCGCCAATAATTTCGAAATGTGAAATTAATGTGTCATCAGTCATACAGCCCTGACTTGATACCAAATGACTTTCTTTTTATTCCCGCACATTAAGAAAATGTCTTGCAAGTGTCAAAACCGGAGTTAAAAAGGTAATCGACAGTTGGTATGAGCGTATGCAAATTTGTATAGATTATGCTGAAGAGTACTTTGAAAAACAATGAAACTGTTTTTGGTTATAAATATTCGTATTTTCATCATTAGACCAGAAATATATTTAGGTAGGTCCTGTAATAGATTTCCGACCTCAATAACAATATCAAACATTTTAAAATCATTCAATGTATATATAATTGATTGGCATGTTTGTTTATAAAAATGTTGTCACAATGTTGTTATATTTTTAATAAAACGAAATGATATTGAAAAATTCAAAATGTTTATGATTGATGCATTGGATTCGTTTGATTTAGATGGAATGTTTATAAAAATTATTTTAATGTAACTTACATTTTGGCTTAATAAATTGATTTGTTTAGACGTTGCACCTGACAGTCAATTGGTCCGACAAATAGTGTTGATGGATTTGCCTGCTTACTTATTTACATATATAATATCTAATATATAATTTTGTAAATAAATTGAAAAGTATAAACTCACACTCATATTTACAGACATTGCTTCTATCTCACTACGATTTTTTGTGGCTTTGAATTAAATTCCTCTCCGCGAGTAAAACATAATTTTAATATTTCGTTCGAATGAAAAATTAAACATTTCGAATTAAACATTATTTTATATTGTTTTTCATCCGAAAAAAATATCATTTAGATGATATCTATCCTTGCTAAATATCAAAACAATTCGTTTTAAACAGATTTTTGTGTTAAGTAATTTGCTCTCATGCTGCGTATGAATGTTGCCCAGTTGGCTAAGACATAAATACCCATACGTCCAGATGATCTGCAAAAATATAGAATTGATGTTATTTTTGAATTGCTATCAAAACAAACAAACAAACAGAATAAAAAACAGGTGATGGATTAGTGTTATTCATAGAGTCGGTCCAGGCACATGGATTGATTTATAATGTCATTATAACAGAAATAACACAAGTTCTTTGCAATTTCTGTGGAATTTGTGAAGATAAAATTATCTGTTTATAATGGTACACTTATATGTTACGAGGGCAGGTCGATTTTTCGTCAAATACAACGTTTTATACCCGCCGAATAAATTTCCATGTCGATATATACCGTCTGTATATCTATTGAAATCACGAATAGCTATCAATATTTTGAATAAAACTTTGTTTGGTATTTAAAATGGAATGTATGGAGTGTGTCGTGACAAGATAGTGTTTTGCGCAATTAAAAGTGTGGAAAATAAACAATAATTTCCAAATAGGATTTTCGCTCCAAGTACAACTGTTTACAATAGATGTAGGGTAGCACCCATAAAACGGTATATTCGATATTTTGAGGAATTGGAAACGTTTTTGAACTTATTTGGATATCATTTGATACTTTAGGTCTTTAGGCTTTAATCGATAAGGGTTATCCATTTCGTGGTTTCAAAATAAAAGGAAAATAAAACACATATCGTCACCATAAATGCAAACGGACATAACTACAATTTTACTAATTTTACAGGAGAAGCACAAAACGTTATAAAATCTATAAAAAATGAGTATGGCTGGAAATTTTTTTTTCAAAGTTTAACTGCAATAAAGAGCCGTGGAGCCTAAATCGGAACCAATTTTCACGAAACTTAGCACACATAATTATAAACTTAATTCAGTACGCGATGTCAAATTTCGTGCAAATTGAAAGATATATCGAGCCATATTTGCCAAAAAAACGTAACCCTCAAATTTGAAATTATACAGGAGAAGGTTTGTTTTAATAAATTCGGATTTAATAAAGCTATTATTTTGAAATGTAGAAGTATAGTTTAAAACAAAACTAGTTTACAACAAAACTATAGTTCTAAATTTCAAAATAATAGCTTTACTAAATCTGAATTTATTAAAAAATAACCTTTTCCTAAATATTTCAAATTTACGTTTCTTTTGGCGAGTATGGCTCGAATAGGTACACCATTTGCATAAAATCGGACGAAAATATATAAATGCAGCTATATCTTAACCAATTTTCAATCGGACAAAACTATATACGAGAGCTATATCAAAATCTCAACTGATTTTCACGAAACTTAGCACACATCATTCTATACTGAATTGAATACGATATGCCAAATTTCGTGCACATCGAAGGATATATAGGATCTTTGGTGCACTATTTACATTTAATCGGACGAAAGTATATATGGGAGCTATATCTAAATCTTAACAGATTTTCAGGAAACTTAACACACATCATTCTAGACATAGTTCAGTACGTTATGCCTAATTTCGTGCAAATCGAAGAATCGGACGAAAATATATTTGGGAGCTATATCTAAATCTTAACAGATTTTCAGGAAATTTACCACACATCATTCTAGACTTAGTTCCGTACGTTATGCCTAATTTCGTGAAAATTGAAGGACATATATAGGCTTTGGTACATCTACATTAAATCGGACGAATATATATATATATATAAATCTGAACCGATTTTCTCCAATTTCAATAGGGTTCGTCCTTGGGCCAAATAATTGAGTTGTAACAAAGTATTAAATTTCATCGAGTTACAAATGTGACCTGTACTTTGTTTACAATTTAACATCAGCAGACGGAGGGACATGCGTAAATCGACTCAGAAAGTGATTCTATTCATATTCTCAAAAGGAACCATGGGTTTATTTCGATCTCGATAGTTCCCATATATCCATGTTTTATTCAAAAAATTCAGGATTCCTTATGCCGATATTAGGTTGCTGTCTTTTTAGGAGCTCTTTTTCTTTGACATTACTAAAAATATAACACATATTGAATTCAACAGCTGAAGTTTTCTTTTAATACCACAATAACACCTCCAATTGTAAACCCCAATATTATTGATCATTATTATTCTATAATCCTTTGCTCATAATATTTATTGTTCCATTTACAGCATTCTATTTGCCGACATTGTGGGTTTTACGGTGCTATCGTCACAGTGCAGTGCACAGGAATTGGTGAGACTGTTAAATGAACTTTTTGGAAGATTTGATCAATTGGCGCATGTAAGTATTCTTAGACTCATCTTTCCATTGTGGGCAAGTAAAAAATTTACGTATTATTTATCTTGCAGGACAACCATTGTTTGCGCATTAAAATCTTGGGAGATTGTTATTATTGTGTTTCGGGTTTGCCGGAACCGCGTAAAGATCATGCCAAATGTACAGTAGAAATGGGTTTAGATATGATAGATGCTATTGCGTAAGTTTACGGAGAATTTTGCGAGAGAAGAACATTTGCTTTAAGTAATGAAAATATATTCATTTATTCCATAGGTCTGTTGTTGAGGCCACCGATGTTATGTTAAATATGCGTGTTGGCATTCACACGGGTCGCGTTTTGTGCGGTGTCTTGGGCCTGCGTAAATGGCAATTTGATGTCTGGTCCAATGATGTAACATTGGCCAATCACATGGAATCGGGTGGTGAACCGGGTAGGGTACATGTTACCCGTGCCACCTTGGACGCTTTGTCCGGGGAATATGAAGTTGAGGCTGGTCATGGTGATCAGCGTTCTTCATATCTAAGAGATCATGGTGTGGATACATATTTCATTGTACCACCACCACATAGGCGTAAGGTGAGATATATTTTTGTAATATTTTATTTTAAAAAGAAAAATATAAAATCGTAAATTTTACTACAGCCCTTAATGCTCAACACCTTGGGTGTACGTTCCGCCATTGGATCTCGTCGAAAACTATCCTTCCGCAATGTCTCGAATGTGGTCATGCAGCTGTTGCATACCATCAAGTTTTCCGAACCAGTACCATTCTCCAATATTGCCACCGGCTCATTTCCCTCGACCGGAGGAAATGCCAGCGGTCGTGGTAGTACCAGCGGTGGTGATGGCCAATTGGAAAAAGGATCACGAAAGGTAAGTTTGACCAACGTTTGCTTAACAGTGTAGTGCAAAAAATATTCCTTTCGCCCCCCAACAAATATACTAATCCTTATTTTGCCAAAGTTTATTTTTAAAGAAAGCAAATTTCAAAGATAAATATATAAAATATAGCAAAAAATATATATTTTAACAAATAGAATGTAGTTCAATTAAATATATACAATTTTAGAATTTTATTTGCATGCAAATTTTTAATAAAATAAAAAACGATGACTAACCACTTTTATATACAAAAAAAAATTATTAGACAAAGCAGTTGCTTTCAAACCAAACCAAAACAAAAGAACAAAACTATAACACTTTACACAGCAATTAGCCTTTATTAATTAAGTTCTTTCCGTTTTTTCCTTTTCTTTTTTGTGGCTTCTTCATTTCTTTTTCGGTAAACAAAAATTGGCAACGCTTCTCCTTTTGTTTTATTTTTCCTTTTTCCCATCTGGTTTTATCTTCTGTATGGCTTCTGACACTCCTCTACACACAATTGAAATTTAATTTCTGTTTTTCACAACACATACAACGAATTTTGTTCTAAATACCTTTAAAAAAAACTTCTTAAAATTGATATTCTTTTATAAAAAAACCAAAATTATTTCCTTATATTTTTATTATTTTTTTAAATTTTAATTTCTTTTTCTTCTTCTTTTTTCTCTCTCCTATACTTTAATGTATTCTTTGTGGTTTTATGTTGTGTTACTGTTGTAATTTATTCCTCTATTACAGGATGCGGTAAGTGTTCTATGGTGTTTTCTTTTCCATCTTTTCTTTCGAACCTTTTTTCCGAGCAATTGACAATTAACAAGATTGAGTCCATATTTTCATTATATCTGATTATTGGGCCTTACAATTTCTAGGCCAAGTCAAAATTAAGATTTTTCAAATTTCGATATTGTACATAGAGATGTTGAAAATGGGACTTAAATTTCATATAAAAAAAATACAACTAACAAAACTGAACACAATTCGGAGGTTTGGAGGCAGTGTAAAAGATAAGGGGTTAATTTTTACAGGTCCGAAATTTGCATGCATAATTAGATGCATAAGAAATGCATCTAATTTTAGAAATGTCTTAAATTCTATGCTACAATTGCCTAACATGCAAGGTCCTATATTGAACATTTTAGGAGAGTTTACACCTCCTCTTCTGTCACTGACAATTGTTTGTTTTTTTTTTTACCTGGGATCCATGTGAGAAATTCTCTCCCTGTCTACTTCACATAGAAATTAATTATTTGCTTCCTAAAGTCGACACAATTTTTTGCCGTTCAAATAAAAAACATCGATTCTTATCCCACTAACGGTAGGAAGTGGGGATGTATGGATTATTTTGGGTAAAATTTACTCCAAATGCTGATCGTTGGTCATTGTGTCGGTACTGTAATTTGCATGTGGGGTGGATTCCAATTTCCTCAAATCGGGTTTTCAACTTAACTAAATCGGACGAAAATATATATGGGAGCTATATCTAAATGTGAACCGATTTTCAGGAAACTTAACACACATCATTCTAGACCTAACTCATTACGCTGTGCCAAATTTCCTGCTAATCCAAAGACTTTAAAGGATTTTGGTGCACCATTTATATTAAATCGCACGAAAATATAAATGGGAGCTATATCTAAATCTGAAACGATTTTCAGGAAACTTAGCACACATCATTCTAGACCTAATTAATTACGCTGTGCCAAATTTCGTGCAAATCGAAAAATATATAGGGACTTTGGTGCACCATTTACATTAAATCGGACGAAAATATATATGGGAGCTATATCTAAATCTGAACCAATTTTCAGGAAACTTAACACACATCATTCAAGACCTAATTCATTACGCTGTGCCAAATTTCGTGCAAATCGAAAAATATATAGGGACTTTGGTGCACCATTTACATTAAATCGGACGAAAATATATATGGGAGCTATATCTAAATCTGAACCGATTTTCAGGAAACTTAACACACATCATTCTAGACCTAATTCATTACGCTATGCCAAATTTCCTGCTAATCCAAAGATTTTAAAGGATTTTGGTGCACCATTTATATTAAATCGCACGAAAATATAAATGGGAGCTATATCTAAATCTAAACCGATTTTTAGGAAACTAAGCACACATCATTTTATACTTAATTCATTACGCTGTTTGCCAAATTTCGTGCAAATCGAAATATATATAGGGGCTTTGGTGCACCATTTACATTAAATCGGACGAAAATATATATGGGACCTTTATCTAAATCTGAACCGATTTTTCCCAATTTCAATAGGGTTCGTCCTTGGGCGAAATAAGTGAGCTATGCCAAATTTCATCCAAATCCGATCATAAATGCGACCTCTACTCACAAAAATACATGGGCGGACAGACAGACAGACGAACAGACGGACATGCGTAAATCGACTCAGAAAGTGATTCTATGCATATTCTCAAAAGGAACCATGTGTCTATCTCGTTTCCTTTTGCCTGTTACAAACATATGCACAAAGACATAATACCCTGTACCACAGTGTGGTGAAGGGTATAAATATACCAGTTCGAAATCCTAGCTTTAATCTCACGAATTGTGTTCAGATCTAAATATATAAACAATAATAATTAAACAATCTCTATGTAAACGTCAAAATGTCAACGATGTATATTGTTGTTGTCGTAATTAACAACCAACACATATAAAAGGGATTATTTGATAATTTAATGTTTTGTCAGTAAATAACATTTTCCAAAAATCATAGATATTAAATGTTTTAGAACTGCCAATTAAATTGTTTATATTAGTTGTAAATAAAAATAAATAGTTGTTGTTATTAAAGTTGTTAAAAAATAGTTGAAATTAATCAAAATATAATAAAATTTCAAAATATTATTTTACAATTTAGATGGTTTGCTTTTTGTATAATTTGAATATCTCATAGTCATGATACTCGCAATTCAAATTTCAAAATTAATTTCTTCCTTTACCACTTTGGGTATATTCAAGAGATGCTACTAAATAGTATTTTTGACGGACCTTTGGACGGACGGACGAAATTAAATATGTGATATATATCTATATATTAGGAACAACAAATGCCATTCTGCAAAATTAAATTTCGTTCGAATATACTTAGAGTCTGTTGTGTCGGATAAAATTATGAAAATCTGGAACGGTTCAAAGCAAGCTTTACACGCAGTAGCAACACGCAATGCAGAGAGAATTATAGGGCTGAAAAGAAGAGAGGAGAAAAGTATTTTCAAAAGAAAGAAGCAATCACAAGAAAATCGTGAGTGTGAGCAAATCGAGATGTAAAGGAGTCAGAATTTTGCAACGCTTTTGGTACTAAATCGTGGCGGTGAAGAAAATACCCCAGAACAATAAGAGATGACGGTATAGAGTGTATACCACCTAGCCAAGATAAGGTCAGAATAGCAATTAGTCGCCTAAAGAATAATAAAGTACCAGGTGCCGATGGATTACCAGCCGAACTATTCAAGATCGGTGATCAGACGCTGGTCAGGAGCATGCACCAACTGATTAGTACAATTTGGCTAGAGGAATAAACGCCCAATGATTGGAACCACAGTATGCTATGTGCCGTGCACAAATAACGATATGTGCCAACTATAGAGGAATTAGTCTCCTTACCATCGCATATAAAGTGTTATCCAGTTATCCAACTGAAGCCAATGGTAAATTACATTATTGGATCTTATCAATGCGGCCTCAGACCTGGCAAATCCACTATAGATCAGATTTTCACACTGCGTCAAATCTTGGAAATGACATACGAATAATACATTCAACACATTCCACCTTTTCGTCGACTACAAATCCTCATTCGACTGTCCAATCCGCTCAGAGGTGTTAAAAGCCATGTCTGTGTTCGACATTCCTGCTATCCATGATAGCTTTAACTGGCACAAGGTCAGCACTTAAATTTGGAAAGGACCTCTCGGTGCCCTTCAATATCGAACGAGGATTCAGACAAGATGACAGTTTGTTGAGTGACCTCTTTAACATCCAGCTGGAAAAGGTCATACGAGATGCAAAGGTGAACAAAAATTACACTCTGTACAGCAAGCAACACATGTTACTCGCCTACGCCGATGACAATAATATGTCAAGCATTGCGGTAACAACGTCCAAGTCCAAGTCCGCCATAAATAAAACTAATGACTGTTTTGAAATTCGGAGAAGCATAGTGTTGGCTAACAGATGTTACTATGGCAATTCAAAAACAAGGCCACCTCCCGCCAGACCAAAATCAAACTCTACAAGGCGCTGATACTACCCGTGCTGTTATTGGGATCCGAAGCATGGGTACTTGTGCAACCAGATGAGACAGCTCTTGGAGTGTTTGAGAGAAAATTTTCTCCGAATGATCTATGGGCTGATCTGCGTTGACGGTGAATATCGCCTTCGAATGAACTATGTCAGACATATCGAGCTGCAGCGACTACGTTGGCTAGGGCATGTTGTGAGAATGAATGTGGATGCTCCAGTTCAAAAAGCCTTTGGGTATTTGGTGCACCATTTCGATCAAATGGGCCAAATATATAAAAATGAGAATCGATTTCTAAACCCATTTCAGCCCATTGTGCAAAATGTTGTGTCATTCGTGCACACCTTGGGATTTTGGTGTACCACTTATATAAAATTGTATCAACATTTATATAGGAGCTAAATCTATATCTGCTCTGATTTTATCAAAACGGCACATGCGCCAATCTGTACTTGATTCAGTACGCTGTGCACAATTTTATTTATAGCAGACATATCTAGGGAGTTTGGTGCCTGATTATCTAAAATCGGACGTAAATATTTATGGGAGCTATAATTTTTATTTCCTACAAATAATTTTTCCACCTACCAATAATAATTTTTCACCTACGTACCACGGTATGCGAAATGTCAGACCGTTTGTTTGGAAAGTATGACTAAATCCTTCAAGATATCGAAAATAGGTCGAGTAATTTATATGGGGGCTATGTTAAATCATCGACCTGTATTGACAATTTTCTACAACAACAATCTTCATAAGAGTGCAGATTTCAATGCTCTATCTTAAATATTGCGATTTATATCGTGATGTTAACTGGAAGAAAGATAAACGTAGAATTTTATTCTGATCAGAAGACGTTGACTTATATTCAGTAAATTTATTTAAAAGTGTGCAAAATTTTATAACAGTGCTTTAAGGTGCCCCATAAATTAATTTTTAAAATCTAGCAAGTTAAAAAAATGTATTTTTAAAAAATATTTTTAACCTATGATTTTACCTCTTACAACAATAATATTACAAGCAAATCATCTAAATTGTATAACAATAAAATAGCAAAAATGTAAATTTTGTTCAATAATAGTTTTAGATTTTGTTAAAATTTTAGTAAATCTAAAATTTGTAGTAAAATATATATAGACAGTCATATAAATACATACATACTCGTAAATTCCATCATAATTGTCATCTCTCTCCCCCTCTAACTATCAAATCTTTCTGATTCTAGTCCTTATATTTGATTTTCTTCTTCTTTCTATTCCTATTTCAAAAATACAATAAACATCTATCATTTATGTTTTCTTTTCTGTAAAAAAATAACCCTGTATTTTATAAAATTTTTATTTTGTTTTACATAAATACGTACATTAAAATGCGGTATAATAACATATATGATCAATTAAAATTTGAATACAACTTCATAATTACCATTTTTGAATTTTGTTGTAAATATTTGTTGTTTCTTTTCATTTATTTTTTCATCTTCTATTTTATGTTGTAAACAATTTTTGTTGTTTTTTCTTTGATTTTTCTTTTTTGTTTTTGGATTCTTTAGGTGATACGACTACAAAAAATCTTACATGCTCCAACACCACCGGGTGGCGGTGTTACCATACAAGTAGGAACAACTTCCAATTCCACATCAAATACGATTAGTCGCATTCATAGACTTAATCAAAATCAAAACAATCTTAAAGTGAGATTTATTTCAAGCAACTTTAAATCAAAAAACCAAAAAAAAAAAAAAATGAAAATTCCCAACAAATTATCAATGAATATCTTCCTTATTGTCTGTTTGGTATTTTGCAAAGATCACAAATGTTCCGAAATGTGTTTTTTCTTATAAGTTGGCTTGTTCCATGCAATTGTTAGTCTTTTTGAATTTCATTTGCCCCCACTACTTTCATGGAAATGTTTTTCGTTTTTATAAATATTTTTTTTTACAATTTCAAAATTTTTTGCGTTTTTTGTTCAAAGTTCAATCTCATTGAAATTTTGTTAGAGTTCTGTTCGTTTTTTACAAACTTCGTTCTGGTATCAAATTTTCTCTAATCAAATTTTACTTTGGAATTGTGTTTCTGCTTTATATAATGCGTCGTTTTTTTTCTTCATAAGGCATTTTGAAAATGTTAATCTTATTAAAAATTGCTTTAAAATATTAACTGTGATTTTTTCAATATTTTATTATTTTTTCAAGGCCTGGAGTTTTTTTTATTACTAAACATTTTAGGTCTCAACAAAATTTTTTTTTTTTTTGTAAATTTGGTAAATTCCAAACAAATATATGAAACAAATTATCAATGAATTATAGGGTATCCAGCAAAAAAAAAAAAAAAAAAAAAATCAACAGACCATAACTCAAAAACTTGGCATGTGGCGAATTTGCGATTTGGAATCTTAATATACTGGTCGAGGGCTTTCATTGTCAAAAGTCCCAAAAGTCTTTAAGTATTCTGTAATAGCGTGAAAGAAAATTGTAGGTACTCTATATTTTGAAAACTCGACATTCCAAAACTGTCGACAATTCGAACATCAGTACTCAATAGTTTGTGTAGACGGAAACGTCGCCATATTCAAGTAAAATGCGCAGCGATTTCTTCTCCTTTGTGGTAATTTGGTCCTTTGTATCCCACTTATTTCGGAAGCTTCGCAAAGTTCTTATTCACTCCTTCTGTAAGTGAAAGTATCAAATATTAGGTCTTCAGTCGATAGAAACCCCTTTAGGAGGTCTAATAAAATTAGAAGTCCTTTATAAAAGCATTCTTGGTTTTCTTCCACTGGTTTTCTAGACATAGAAGACTCATCGATATCTGCCTTCCTTCCTTCCTTCCTTTTCCTTCCTTTAGGCCGTCTTCTATAGACAGAATACATCTAAAAATGACTCCTATAGTTGAAAGGCACTTAAAGAAATTCTACACAAAAAATAGCATTTAGGTATATTGACAGAAAATAATTCTATAGGTCATCCAAAGACAGACGACTCTTCAAGTGATCCTTCATAGATACCTATAAGACTCTTTAAGATCCGCCTTCTTAGAATTCCCTTCCACATTTAACAGGCCCATATAGAAATAATATAGAAATAATTTATAACCAATCGAAAGATAGATGACTCATATAAGGATCCCGTATACCCTTCAAGCATAGACATAGAATAATTCTGAAATACTTTTGTACAAAAAATATCCCTCCGGAAATATTCTATAGTTTAAATAAATATCCATAACAAATACAAAAAAATCAAGAGGTCATCCAAAAATGTATTACTCTTCATAATATCCTATGTAGATATTAAACTAGGTGCGGTTCTTTTTCCTTTTTGAAATATTTAATATCATTAACATTTGAATGTCCTTTTAGATGTCATACAACAAGTCTATAAATAGAAAATAATTGTATATACCAAGGATAGGTAAAAATGTCCAATTGACAGAAAATAATTCTGAACGGATTTTGTACATATAAGAAAAGAGTCTTCTATTTTTTAAACAAATACAAAATATTTCAATGGGTCTCCTATAAATAGGAAATGAAACATATTACAGATAGACAACGCCTCAGATGATCCTTCCGGTGAACTTTCGCAGAGAGAAGAACCTTAATAAATATCGGATTCTATAGAAGACTATAAGATATTTTCCTATACAATCCTCACAGATTGAAGTGTAGGGCCTTTAAAAAAATATTATGTAAAAATCCACGCCTATTGTAGAGAAGGGCCTTTAAAAGAATATTTTCCAAAAATTCACGCCTATCATAGGAAAGGTCCTTTATAATATATTCTTTAGAAATCCATGCCTATTATAGGGAAGAGCCTTTACAGATATATTATCTAAAAATCCACGCCTATCGTAGGAAAGGTTCTTGAAAATATATTATTTAAAAATCTACGCCTATTCTAGGGAGAGTCCTTGAGAAAATATTATTTAAAAATCCATGACTTGTATGGGTCCTTAAAAACAATTTTTAAAAAATTAACGCCTTGTTTGATCCTTAAAATCCACGCCCTGTGGTTCATAAAAATATTCTTTAAAAAATTAACGCCCTGAAAGGGTCCTTAAAATCCACGCCTTGTAATTGTTCTTAAAAAATATTCTTAAAAAATAACGCCTTGAATGGGTCCTTAAAATCCACGTCTTGTAAATGTTCTTGAAATATATTCTTTATAAAATTAATGTCTTGTATGGGTCCTAAAAATCCACGCTTAAAAATATTGCTTATAAAAACAACGATTTGTTTTGGTACTTAAACATATTCTTTAAAAATCCATGCCTTGTTTTGGCCCTTAAAAATATTCTTGAAGAAATCTACGCCTTGTTTTTGGCCCTTACAAATATTCTTGAAGAAATCTACGCCTTGTTTTTGGCCCTTACAAATATTCTTTAAAAAATCTACGCCTTGTTTTGGCCCTTAAAAATATTCTTTAAAAAATCCACGCCTTGTTTTGGTCCTTAAAAATATTCTTTAAAAAATCCACGCCTTGTTTTGGTCCTTAAAATAATCTTTAAAAAATCCACGCCTTGTTTTGGTTCTTGAATAAAAATTCTTTAAAAAATCCACGCCTTGTTTTTGGCCCTTAAAAATATTCTTTAAAAAATCCACGCCTTGTTTTGGTTCTTGAATAAAAATTCTTTAAAAAATCCAAACCTCTTTATTCTTAAAAATCCACACCTTATTTTGGTCCTTAAAAATATGCTTGAAAAAATCCACGCCCTGTTTTGGTCCTTAAAAAAATATTCTTAAAAAAATCAACGCCTTGTTTTGGTCCTTAAAAAAATATTCTTTAAAAAATCCACGCCTTGTTTTGGTCCTTAAAAAAATATTCTTTAAAAAATCCACGCCTTGTTTTGGTCCTTAAAAAAATATTCTTTAAAAAATCCACGCCTTGTTTTGGTCCTTAAAAAAATATTCTTTAATAAATCCACGCCTTGTTTTGGTCCTTAAAAAATATTCTTGAAAAAATCCACACCTTGTTTTGGTCCTTAAAAAATATTCTTGAAAAAATCCACACCTTGTTTTGGTCCTTAAAAATATTCTTGAAAAAATCCACGCCTTGGTTTAACCTGTCTTAATTATATGTCGGGTCCAAAATGCTATCGCGGTGAAAAGAAAAAAACTTTTACTAAAATATTGAAAAAAATCACACTTTAAATTTATTTCCTGGCAGGCCAATCTATCAACAACATGAATGCAGATTGGACGCGCACCTTTACGTTCCTTTGGGTTGAAGTTTTTCAATGCATGGTGTTTTTATTTTCGATGATTTTTTTAATAAAATTTGCATGTTCTTCCTACTTATTTTGGTTTGGGTTTGCATGTACGAAATTTTAGTCTGTATGATTTATTTACATATACTCATCGTCATCGATGCTGTCTGTGTGTATGGATTTAACTTAGATGCATGTAATATTTATTTCGTACTAACAATAAAATTTGTTAATTATTTTTTAGCCATTTTTCTGTATCATTAAAATCCAATTTACAAACATCTCCTATTGAAAACTGATTTAAGGGTCTTTATGTTCTGTAAATACCCAAATTGGTTTTCCACATTTATTCAATGGACCTCTATATTTAGTCATGAACATTATTAGAGGTCTATAAAGTCCTGATTTTGTTTTCCATTTATATTAGAATTGTAAAGTTCCCTATTACCATCGTTTCTTATTAGAAATATGTTCATTGTAGTTTCTCATTAGCAAATGGAGATGTTGTAAATATGGATTTCATGTTCCCTGAGTTATGGTTGTAACGTTTAAAGTTGTTAATTTTTCTTAATTTTCAATAAAAAAAATGTCCATCTAATAAAATGTTTCTATTTCTCATTTCTTTTGTTTTTGTTTTATTACCATCTTAAAACACACAATTAATTTAATTCCTACTACATTTTCTTACTCTTTATCTCTCTCTATTTCTCTCTTCCCCCAAAACCACATCCAAAACTTTTCATTTCAATTAATTCGGTTGCCAAAAAAACGAAAACGAAAAACCCCCGCCCGTCCGTTCTCTTACACCCCCACCTTCAAACCCCAACCAATTAGTCAAAAGTTACGGACAAATTCAAACGACCCTTTCGCAAGCGTCACTCATCGGTCCATCATCAGCCAACAAATCGTGTTAATCGGTTCCTTTCACAAGCAATCAATGCCCGTTCGGTGGACTGTGACAAATCGGAACATGTTGATCGTATTACTTTGCGTTTTCGCGAAAGCGATAAAGAGCGCGAATATCGCAAAGATTTCGACTTGGGCTTTACCACCGCCATGGGCTGTTCACTGCTGCTGTTGATATTGGGCGCAGCATTGCAGGTGACTGCTTTGCCAAGGACCTTGATATTGTTGTTACTTTTTCTGACCGCTTTCGTATGGGTCAGTGCCATATTGATGCTATTGCTGGCCGTACGTTTGAAATGGATTGTTTGGGATTTGTCACAGAGTTTTACACTGAGAATGGCCATCACGATATTTACGGTGATATTGATATATTCTGTCGGTCAGGTGAATGTGGTAAGTATATCAAACTCATAACCCCTTGCTTTCATAATGACCTTCATGTCTTTCGTGTGTGTGTTTTACAGTTTACCTGTGTATCTGACCACCCCTGCTCCAGCAATATTACCACCACAACACCCACCGCGGAGGAAGACCTGCTAATGTTGATTCATCAAAATGATGCCCATCGCAAATGTTCGCTGCCACAATATGTTTCGTTATCGGCCACATTTGCTTTCCTATCTGTATCGGTATTTTTAAGGTATGGACACAATGGCCTTCTTTCTTCCCATGCTGACCTTTACACTATAAATAAATTAACACTGTCACTCACACTCACTCACTCAATGTCGTTCCAATCCTTTTCTGCCTTTCGTTTACAGGTTACCCATAATATTTAAATCTCTATTGGTGGTCACAATGGGTGTTGTCTATTGTCTATTTATCGAACTCTCCCATACGAATATCTTTGATTGTTATGACAGTCGTGTCAAGTAAGTGTGTCAAATGGAAAATAAGTATATAAATACAAACATATATATTTTTTTATTATTAAAAGAAATTTATACATACATATTTATAGTTTTAAGGACACAGTTAACATTCAATCACATAATATGCTTTCTGTCTCTACATTCCCTCTACATCTGTTTCGTTTTTGCAGTGCTGCAATTCCACTCCATTTGATATCATTGGCCCGTATTATCATCTTTATGATTGCCATACTTGTCCATGGTCGTTTGGTTGAATGGACAGCCCGATTAGATTTTCTCTGGCAATTACAGGCATCGCAGGAGAAAAAAGAAATGGATGTGTTGCAGGAATCCAATAAACGGATTTTACACAACCTTCTGCCGGCCCATGTAGCTGCCCACTTTTTGGATAATCAATTTCGCAGTAATATGGTAAGGACCTTGAATTTAAAAATATATTTATACATAGTAATTAAATTGTTAAAATACTAAAATTTCTAACAATAATTATGTACAATACGTTTGAATGTTGTTGTGACTTCTTAAAGGTCACATGAAACCCCCGTGAATACAAGAGATAGAAACTTCGTTAAGATCGAGCTCCACGATACCAAACAGATTTATCTTTTAAGGAGACTAAATACTAAATTACAGAAATTCGACTAATACCTTCAGCTAAACGAAATTGGTCTTGACTTCTATGTGGAACCTATATTGAACATTTATTGTGAAAAGCCTTTTTCAGAAAGAAACCCAAACCCAAATCCAACATTACAGTCATTTCATTGAAAAATGCGCCGTGTACCATAAAAATATATAAACTCGGTCGATATATGGGTGATATGTCAAAACGCGGACCTATACAAACATATGTTCTGTTAAGAAGTTATTTACAGACTAAAAACCGGAAATCAGAAATACAGCCATATCAGAAAATGCATCTAGGACTATGGCACAAAATGGATCTATATTGAAATTTTGTTTGCAAATATTTTGTTCACACTCTAAGAATCTGGAATGGTTTATCACAGTAACTTCGGGCATTTTATACCCCCTAAGATCGCGCAATGGCAAATTACAGCGGCTTCGATAGGAAAATGTGCTTAGTGTCATCAAAATTCCTTAAATGGTTGGATATTTATATTGTGGCGATGTCAAAATATGGATCTATATTAAAACGTTTCTGCAAAGGCATTTTTCATCCTCTAAGATCCCGATATGCTAAATGACGGAAGTTTTTTGCCCACCAAGAATACGGAATGTCAAATTATAGCAGTTTCTGTAGGGAATGGTCCAAAACGTGAAACTATATTGAAAATGTTCTGAAAAAAATGTTTTTTACCCACCAAGAACTTTAAATGACAAATTACAGTCATTTCGGTTGGAAAATAGGCCTAGGCCACATAATTAAACTAGGCGGGACTTTCTGCCTATTTCAAACAAACCCTTAAAATACCAAAAATATGGCGGCAATTTTATTTTGGGTCCATATCATAACAGGGACTTATAATGAACCAGTGAGCGGAGCAGTATAGTCGGACGGGGCCGACCATATGATACCCTACACAACTTCTATGAAAATCTAATTTTGCGATAACAGGTCAACAAATATTACTAATATTCAGTAGACGAGGGCTGTACTTGTCCAGATTCTCTTTGCCGTAGGCTATGTTGTGAGGTGGGGTTTCCAATTGCGGCCTATAGACCGACTCAAAAAAAGATTAGGTCAATGTATTGAAAATGGGGCTGTATGTATTGCTATAGATATGTGTCTCACCTCCAATATCCCGGATTTTTTAGCTACTACAATGGGAATGGAAAACACAAAAAGTTAAGTTTTCGGTCCACTTCATCCCAAAATTGTTATCTGATCATCACCGAAAATTATAGGCGTTGTCCTTGACCATAATTGGAATCTCATGGAAAATGTTAAAGCCATCAGCGCTATATTTCCGCCGTCTAGTGTGGTAATGGGTTACTAAATAATGTCTGAATACGTCAGCACCTGTAAATATTTAAGTGTAACTACCACATCTGAGGACATACGACCATATAATTGGACCAATTTAAAGGTCAACCACTCCACTTGAACATACTATCAATTTCTCTGGTATAGGTCCTTCAGGGCAAATATATACGCCATAGAATATAAATGTTGCCATTTTTCACACAAAATTCAGGGTTCATTTGACCCGCTAAATATTGACCGATCTTTATCAAAACAGGCATGCTTATTCTTTGGTCCAATCCCTTTCTCCATACAAAAATTCGCGGTGTTTGGGCTATAATTGCGGGATCTGGAGCGACCAGAAAAATCCTATACAAACATTTCTTCAAACAGATTATGTAAACCGTAATGTACACCTTTTTGGACCGATATGATCAATTTTTAGATTATAAAATTATATAGGCGATGACAAAAATAAAGTTTTTGGTCTATTTCATCCCCTAAATATTAACCGATCTTTTCCAAAAACAATAGGGGTCTTCATTGGCCAGAACCCATTCTACATGCAAAATTTCGTGAAGATTGGTCCATAACTGTGGCCTGTATCGTGTTTACAAATTATAATGGAAAGACGGACGGACGGACACACATGTCTAGATCGACTCAGCTAGTCGAGATATGACGATCGGTATACTTAAAGGTGGGTCTAGGACCAATATTTCGCGGCGTTACAAACTTTTGGGGCTGAACAAAGCTATAATTTCTACAAAAAAATTCAAAAAAATTTCTACACTGTAGATTTTCACCCATCAAGAACTACCAGATTACAGGCACACGGGTGTGAAAATGCGGCAGAAATATTTTAAATACGGAACATGGACCGGAATTTTAATATCAAAATATGGACCAAAATTTAAGAAAATCCATCTCATTTGAAAAATTCGTGTAAAACCCTAAAATCGGCTGCCTTTTGTGGCAGCATTAAATATAAGAGAGCCCATACACCCATAAATTATAATTTATTCTTGTTTATAATTTGATTATGAACCCATTACATACTTAATAAGGTATCCGATGAATGCGGAAAGGCAAAGTTTCAACATATCCGATGGTATCCAAGATATGAGCTTATCTCCGGACATGTTGAAACTAGACGTTCGTTATTACGGAAGTCCACGTCCTATTAGCGTCATTACATCTAATTAACATTTCAAACTTGACTAAAGGAAATACCATAACATCCTTCTTTCCTGGTATCTAGAGCGATGTTTTAACCATCCCTGGAATAGGTGGGTTTCATCTTGCTTGTTGTGTCTGCTATGAAATTTCAAAATCGAATTTCCTTACGACTAACCGGAGAGATGGGAATGACGACCATGAAAACGTGGTTGAATTGAATCTGAACTGACGACATTGACCTAAATCTGTCAACGGGTCAAATTATTTAACAAAAATATTTTTAATGGTTTAAGTATCCTGCGGAAGACAAATTTATGGATATTTGTACCTCTACTAGTACAAGTGAAACATTCTGTTAAATATTTAATTGGCTTCTGTTTTCATATAAATAAATTTTGAAGATTCAAAATGTAATTCTAAAATTTTTACATGCACTTATTTATCTCTACCACTCATTATTTTTTCTTCTACTTTACAGGAACTCTACCATCAAAGTTATGCCAAAGTGGGCGTTATATTTGCCAGTGTACCCAATTTCCATGAATTCTATACCGAAATGGATGGTTCAGATCAAGGCTTGGAATGTTTACGTTTATTAAATGAAATTATAGCCGATTTTGATGAGGTAAACAATTATCGCATTTCGCCTATTTTTTGCATTTTATAAATAAATTGTATTTCTGAAATTACAGCTATTGAAAGAGGAACGATTTCTGGGCATTGATAAAATCAAAACTGTTGGCAGCACCTATATGGCTGTTGTGGGTTTAATACCCGGTAATTATAACAACGTTTATAGTATTATTTTTTTTTAATTTTTATTTATATTAATTGTTATTGCTTTTGTTTCTAGAATACAAAATTAATCCGAATGATCAAAATTCTGTACGACGCCATATGACCGCTCTTGTGGAATATGTTAAGGCAATGCGTTTATCTCTGCAAGAGATCAACAGTCATTCCTATAATAATTTTATGTTAAGAGTTGGTAAGTAAATATGATATCCTTATAGCTGGGTACGGGGGTACAAGCGGCTCTCCCCCGAAAATCCTAAGCCGAAAGCCTAACTATGATGAAAATCTTCTTCGTGTTGGTTTTTTGTCCGATGACATTTTGGCTTAAATAGCGATTCGGACCTTCAAATTACCTAAAATCAAGCGGAATCCTTATTAGGGTACTATGTTAACATATTCCCTTTTCGCCTAGGATGTTATATATATATATACATATATTGGTATTAATATGGGAATATGGCGTTCAATATACCTGAAATGGAACAATATATTGACCAAGATATTTCATTTTCAAAATCTACTTTTCTCGTGATTTTAGTAGACATATCATTTTACTCGACGAATATTTCGAGGAGTTGCAAAACATAGATCTTATTTTTTGATGTGTGTGTGCATTTCCTTAATTTCCGAATATCAGAAAAATATGAGAACCTCCATTTTCAATATTTTCTCTTTTAATTTAGGTATCAATATTGGCCCTGTAGTGGCTGGTGTCATTGGTGCCCGTAAACCCCAATATGATATCTGGGGCAATACAGTAAATGTGGCCAGTCGCATGGACTCGACTGGTATACCTGGCTATACTCAAGTCACTCAAGAAGTTGTGGATAGTTTACAGGGATCACATTTCGAATTTAAGTAAGTATCTCCTTATACTCAAAAGGGAAATGAAAATAATTTCATAAATCTCTCTACCTCTTGCAGATGTCGCGGCACCATTAAAGTCAAAGGTAAAGGTGATATGATCACCTATTTCCTAAACGATAATAGCAGCAATGCCCTTAACGGTGAGGTACGCAATGCCATGCTGGGCAATCGCGCCCTGCCAAATCCTGGATTTGGTGGTGTTGCTGCTTCGGCGGCTATGGCACCCCAAACCCAATTACAGGCAGCTGACTATTATCAAAAACAATCACAGGATAATAGTTATCATGTGAATATGAATTCCGAAACTTACAATATCAAGAAGGACACTTACGGTTATGTGGATCAAACAGATCCCAACAACACCATCAACAACGCTACAAATAATTTGTTGATGAAGAACTCGAATGAGGAACAACAACTGTTACTGCAGCATATGCAACCACAACATCATCAACACCATTTGGCCCAACAGCAGCAACAGCGGATGAATAGCAAATTACAAAAACAACCATTTTTGGCCAATGGTGGCCTGCCCAACATCCACGAGAATGGTCATAATGGCAATGAGGAGCATCACAGCAATGGTTACAACGGAGTTGGCAACAATGGATATCAGCAGCAACAGCATCAACGTAATCATTCGTCTAGCTCAATGAGCAGCATGGGTTTAAATCCTAATTCCCTACCACCAAATCAACATCCGCCACTACCACCATTACCGAACTCATCATCATCCATACTGGCCAACTCCAATGCCTACCTGCAACAGCAACAACATAACCTCAACCACAACCTCAGCCACCACCAAACATCCGCGTCATCTGCACAACCTGCCACAGCCACAGCAGGTCCTCTTCTGGCCCCCACACCATCATCATCTTCTTCGGTAATGTTCCGTGAACAATTTAATATTATTGAAAATCCTAGCAATAGTCGTCATCTATTCAATAATTATATTAATAATCCTCCTACTCTCTCACACACAAACAATCATCAGCATCAGCTACAACAGCAACAACAGCATGACCCCTATGCTCCGCTGGAGAATTTCAATAATCTTATGTATGGTGCGGCGGCCGCGTCAGCTGGTAATGGTAAACGCGATACGCGTGATCTGCATGTTTCGTCATCCTCCTCCTCCTCTGCGCAATATCCGCAAGCATCAGCATCCAACTATCATCATTATTTGTATCAACAGCAACAACAACAACAACAGCATCACCATCACCAAAACAACAGTAACAGTAACTCGAATAATCATCATAATCAAATGCCTACTCCTCCTCCACCTTCAACTTCTAACCAATTTCATTACAATAACAAAAACAATTTCAATAATCAAAATGGTTACAACAATTCCGATAGTCATTATCTGAACTATAGCAATTGTCGCGAAAGTGAACCGTTGTTGCATGCCACCCAAGTGGCCAAGGTGAGTTGTTCTTACATTGATGATTCTGATACTGATTCGGAACATCATCATCTCTTCAAAAATCACAATGACAACGACGACGATGATGATGATGATGACGATGAAGCAGATAATCATAATGATAATAATGTAGTAGATGATGATCACGATGATGATGAAGAAGAAGATAATTGTAGTGATGATTACCACCCAGGCACTGAAGAATATCTGTTATGAAAAATCCACTCTTAAGTAGTAAATTGTTAGTAGTTACTTTTTCCCACTTGTGTAGTGATTGATCCTTTTCCATTGCAAAACAATATTCGTTCTTAAAAAAGTAGATACGAACGAACGAAAATACACGCACTCACTCAGGCACACCACCATCATCATCATCACTGAACCAAAATTGGTGTTGGACAACCGTATAGATTTAGAACACATTAACTAACCTCCATATACAATTTGGAATGCCAACGTGATAACCTCTCCACCCACCGGTGACGGTAAAATTAAGTTCCTAATATTCGAATATTCCCGCCAGCTTAGTGCATAGACGATATATAGATTGTTTTTTTTTTTTCATTTGGTACTTTAGACATGTTTTTGCTTGTTTGCCTTAGTTAGTACTTCATCATATCTAAAATATTTCCTTTTTTATGAAAATCATCTTCGATATTGTACTTTTTAAATAAGGGATATATAACGTCTTTATATTTGGCCAGGCCCATCTTTTAGTATACTTTACCCTAGGAATTAAAACAAAATGTTAAAATATGTTAAAACGACAAGGTTCCGAATATTTCTGTAAAGACAGTGGACCAATTTCGGCAATTTACTGCGGAATGCTCTCCGATAAATCGAGATGCCATTTAAAATATTATTTTTATGACAACACTGTTAGAAGCTTTTTTACTGGTTCTCAAGGAATTCTTCAGCATGACACCAAACCTATCACGCATTTTCGTTGATGTGGAGGTATAAAAAAGTATTACAAATGATCCGCCAATTTCATGCTTTGGCTAACCAAATGGCGCGCTTTTGATTATCTTTCATCTTTTGGATTCCTTCATTATACGTTGCTTAATCGGATTCGGCGCCATAAAAACAGTTTTGTTAAATAAACGTGCGAACATTTGCTTCAAAGTGTATTTCCACAAAAACTTCGAAGATCCATACGGTAGGTTGCAGATTTATTTCGGCATCCATAACTCCACACCGGTTACGACCTTATAAACGTATTTTAAAACACCGCACTCGTAACTGTATACACTTCACGACACTGTGGCACAGGTCTCTGTTGATATGTTCGTAACATGCAAAGGAAACGAACATGCAAAAGGAAATGGAAAGGAAAGTTTTATTGAAATTGTTTCAGATTTCGATATAGCTCCTATGTATAGTTTAATCCGATTTTCGATAAATGAACTCCCCAAATTTGTCCGCTTGACACTAAATGAGTATAGACTAACCTGTGACTCAGATGTCGATATAGCTCCCATTTATTTCGGATTTTAGGGAACTAGTACATCAAAGATCCAAAGCATTTCCAAATTGGTACAACATTTTACACAAAGTACTGAAATGGGTCTAGAATGTCGCCTTTTAAATTTTTGTGGAATTCGATTTTCACGTGTTTTCGATTGACACAAAATTTTGCACGTGTTTTGATGAAATCGGTTCAGATTTAAATATAGCTTCCATATGTGTTCGTCCGATTTAAGTTAAATGGTGCGCATATCTAATTGGGTGTATCAATTTTATTTGATGTCGATCCACATTCACATAATTTTGTCCGAATCATATAAATGGTACACCAACAACTGCCGAATGAAAATTGTGTGAATTGCATTCAGAAAAACAAACGTCACATTTTTGAAGGACGATTAACATGAAATTAAACATGCCATTCTGCAACCTATACTAAATTTTGGTCAGATATAGAGTTGCTTTTTACAATGGGACAAAATTATGTTAATAAACATAGCGCAAAACATCGAAATCTAAACCGATTTCATTGAAACTTGTCACATGTTCGTTTACACTTAATTCAGTATGTTTTGTGCATTCGGCCACTTATAAATCCAAATTTCGTGCAAATCGAAAGATATATAGGGACTTTGGTGCACCATTTACATAAAATCGGACGAAAATATATATGGGAGCAATATATAAATCTGAACCGATTTTCACGAAAGTTAACACACATCTTTCTAGACTTAATTCAGTACACTATGCCAAATTTCGAGCAAATTGAAGGATATATAGGGACTTTGGCGCACCATTTACATAAAATCGGACGAAAATATATATGGGAACTATATCTAAATCTGAACCGATTTTCGCGAAATTTAACTCACATCTTTCAAGACATAATTCAGTACATTGTGCCAAATTTCATGCCAATCGAAGGATATATAGGGACTTTGGTGCACCATTTACATAATATCAGACGAAAATATATATGGGAACTATATCTAAATCTGAACCGATTTTCACGAAATTTAACACACATCTTTCTAGACTTAATTCAGTACATTATGCCAAATTTCGTGCAAATCGAAGGATATATGGGGACTTTGTTGCACCAGTTACATAAAATCGGGCGAAAATATATATGGGAGCTAAATCTAAATCTGAACCGATTTTCACGAAATTTAACACACATCCTTCAAGATGTAATTCAGTACGCTATGCCAAATTTCGTGCAAATCGAAGATATATAGGGACTTTGTTGCACCAGTTATATAAATCAGAACCGATTTTTTCAATAGGGTTCGTCCTTGCGCCAAATAAATGAGCTGTGCCAAATTTCATCCAATTCCAATCAAAAATGCGACCTGTACATTGTTTACAATTTAACATGGACAGAAAGACGGACGGACGGACATGCATAAATCGACTTAAAAATTGATTTTATGCATATTCTTTAAAAGGAAAAGGAACAAAAGGAAACGAGTTATCCTTTTGCCTGTTACAAACATATGCACAAAGCCATAATACCCTGTACCACAGTGTGGTGAAGGGCATAAAAACAAGTATAACTCCAAAGTGGTGAAAGGTATCATATAGCCGGTGTTATGCTGTACCCTTTTGTGTAGCCAGGATCAAAAGTACAAATAGATAGGTATAAGGTTTTCAGTGCTAGGATCGGGTAAATCTGAAAAAGGATAATGAAAACATACGAATATCGATTTGTGGTTTTTGGAGGCTATTTCCAAAACCTTTTGAACAACATTCTTGTAGAATATTTAGAGGTCGAACAATCTCGTCTTGAAGGAAATAATTTATAGGAATATTCCTTATAAATCACGCTAGAAAACATACGAATATCGATTTGTGGTTTTTGGAGGCTATTTCCAAAACCTTTTGAACAACATTCTTGTACGTCACCTATGGTTAATTTCCGGCCTGTGCCAGTTTTGTTTAAAGAAATTACATTTACAAAATTATTCAAAAATTTCATTGCATTTGTTATGACGTTTGAGGGTTAAAAATATAAATCTATTAATGCGCCTAAAAGTATACTACAGAAATATTGCATTTTAATCTATAGCATATTTGGATAGATAGATTAAAAGGAATTCAGCGCCATAACATCAAATTTCATAGCCCACTTAATTAAATAAGTGAGCAATTCCAATGTTTATATAAATCGAATCAGATAAAGCCAGTTTTATAAAAAAACATAACACTTCATTATTTGAAACACAATATGTTCCCCGATTTAAATGTTTGAACCCACTTCTCCATTTTCTTCTTAAAATGTGTTGCATTTTTATAACTTTTATTCAAATGTAGTTTATTTTGCCCCACATCCCCCGGACCCCATAGTTGCATCTTTAACTATAAGTCTATCTACTGATCTCATAAGCTTGTATTAAAACATATTACATTATTATTCAATATTATGGTGCAGGTGTTTTTTTATAACTACATCCATATATATTTTATTTTGTAAATAATTTCCTTTTTAATGTTCATTTTATTTTCTATGTTCTCTTTTTTCTTGTGCGTAAATAACTTTTTAATAACGATAACGTTTCGCATCCATCCATACAACCAACCAACCAAACAAAACCAAAAAAACAACAACATCAATTCATTTGCATGTCGACCACAACAAAATGAAATGAAACGATGGTTCCCCACATATTCTTTATCTTCATCCATCTCTTTATAAATGTGTCTCTGTGTCTCAATCTAAATGTATGTGTGTGTGTCATGTGACTATCAACTGCAATGCTTTGGCAACGGACAAACTCTGTGTTAACCCCAAACAACAATAACATCCAGATTATGTCCATGCAACATCATCATCAGCAACAACAACAACACCAAATGCATCATACACCCACTAAATATGAACCGCCTCGTTATATGTGCCCCAATAATGTATTTGTACAACAACAACAACAGATCCAACACCAAATCCAACAATACCAACAACAACAACAGCAGCAGCAACCACCACCCCAACCGCTACCGAAACAGCAACAACCACAACAACAATATCCTCTGTACTCCCAACAACCCCAGCCTCCTCTACCAGCCCTACCACCCAAACCTGCCACATTAACAACGAGTCTAAAACAGAATACCCCTCTTCTACGCTCCTACATGAAGCCACTACCGAAGCTACCGACCGAACTGGAAGAGAGTCGTGAAATGTCTTCCACCGACGATCTCAGCTCCCGACCACATTCACCCTCAATGAGTTCTTCGGATGAAAGCTATTCCAAGACGACGGAGGGTGAAGGTGAAGAAGACTCACCACATCGTCTACTAGCAGCGGCATCAGCAGGAGCAGCGGCCACAGCAGCCAACAACCATCATCTGGCGAACCGCAACAACGGCAGCAATGCCCTACAATGGTTATATCCATGCGATATCCAAGTGGATCCGACCTCACCAGTCATTGATATGTCAAATTTGAAGGACTTTGAGGTCAGTTCCACCACTGAGAGTCAAGGTCAGTACACCACCACGACCCAAAACAAGGGAGATTCTTGCAACAGCTTCGAGTATCAGGATCGTTTGGCTTTGGCACAAAGTCAGAAGGCGGCAAACATGTCCCAGGCAACATCGGGCAGCAGTGGCAACCAAAATGTCACCAAGTCACCATTTGAGAGGGAATTGCAAAGACTGCTAAATGAATCGTCGAGAGCAAGGGGATTGACAACAAATCACAATTCGGCTGCTGCCACAGCATCGTCATCAACTGGTGGCAATATCACCTCCGGTTCTATGGGCAATGTTGAGGGTGGCAACACCACCAGCAATAGCAGCAGTCGCAACAACATTGACATCAGTTATTCGGGCAGCAACAGTAAATTAAGTTCCAATGGGTTGAATGTGGCCGCCGGTATTGGAGGCAGCGGTAGTCTGGGTAGCAACGGCAACTTGAGCGGCAGCACACCACTCAGTGGCAACAACAATCTGAAGAACGTAACCACCGCCATGGCAGTTACAATGTTGGAAGAGCTCAACTCACCGACCAGTGGACAGAGGCAGGGTTCCAAGATACCTGTTAGTACAAGCTTTATGATTGCCAAACATCCTGTGGGTCTAGAGGCTATAAAGGAAATAACCCGCAATAAGAATCCCTCAGAATCCAGTCAAATGTAAGTAGCCGAAAACTAGAAACTTATTATTTGAGTATTTGCAGGAACTGATCTGCTCCTCTTCTACCTTCTCCCCCATTGTTATAGGCAAACATCGGATACCGAATCCTGTGAAATTTTGCATGAGACTCGCAACCAATTAAATCTGGCCATGATGGACCACCATCACAATAACAGCATGACCAACAAATCGTCGACCTCAACCAATGGTACAAACTACAATAATTTTCCTCAGCAAATGGCAGCGCCACCATCGCAGGGCCACCACCTGCAACAGTCATCGTCGCAGGCATCTACCAAAGAACACAATCATCGTCACAGAGTGCGGCCACGTTCCAAAGAATACGATCAAAGTCACGAGAGTCTCGATCAGTTGCAGGAGTCGGGTGAATCGAAATCGAATGGTCGTTATAATCGGCATCATCATCATCACCACCATCATCATCATCACAATCATAATTCGCATCATACACGTCCCACCCGCAATACGCATCATCATTTGGTCAACAATCACGATCAGGATGATGAACGCGATGATACCGAAGATAATTTGGCCGATGAAGAATTCGAAGATGATGAAGTGGGTCGTGATGTGCGCAAGAAACGTCTAATGCCACCGACGGAATTGGTAAATCATTATCGCAGTGATGATGACGAAGATGATGATCATATTCGAGGTGGACAGCAGTTGGAGGAAGATGATGACGACGAGGACGACGATGAGGATGATCATGAATGTGGTCCTGAAGAGGCATTAGTTGGTGGTGGCGGTCATGGGGATACAGGTCTATTAAATGGTGGTGGTGGTGCTGGTCCGAGCGGTAGTTATCACGATCACCGTTTGGATTCACTGGAAACGAATGTGATAAATGATGAGCTCAAATATGGTGCCGGTCATCATAATCATCAATCGATGGACTCAAATCATTTGGAAAGTCAATCGGAATGGTCAGATGATGATTGTCGTGAAGAGGCAACAGGTGAGTTGGAGTTTGAGGGACTTTTAAGAAAAACTTTGGACTACCATTTGCACACTTTATCACTAGGCTCACCTCTTATTGAGGTTTTTTCCAAACGACTTCTCTTCAGAATATCTCATCGGTTTACATTGTACCTTAATAAGTAATGAGATACTGAACTTTCTTGCATTACTTGGTCGCTACACAAAATTCTGTTCTTCTGTAAATCTTCCGAAAAATTATCTTGAATTTTTTTTTCGGAAAACGCGAAATCTATATCGTTTCCGAAGTGGGAGCTTTCTCCTTGTTTTCACGGAAATTTATCCGCTTCTGAGAGATGATTTGAAAGATTTGACAGCCAATGAAAATCCAAAATATCAAATTAGAGCCAATTTGGTTGGGTATTTTTTATGTTCCTAAGGCCCCATATTACCAAAATAATTAAACCTTATCCCTTCAAACTTGTACTCCCGCTAATTATAAAACACATTCGTTCACCATTTGTCTTACAGGTGGTGCTGAATCCACTGGCTATATAACCGATGAACCCGGTCTAGAAAATATCTCTCTACTTAATGAGGCTGGTCTAACCGATGCCGAAGGTGCTTTATCCGATGTCAATTCTTTATATAATGCTCCCGATGTTGATGATACATCGGTATCGTCGCGTGCCAGTTCAAGACTCCTTAGTTTAGATTCTCTCAGTGGTCTGTATGATTGTGATATGGATTCGAAACATGAAATGGCTATTGTTAATGTCTCCAATAAGATAACTAGTAAATTTGGACCACCACAGCAGCAGCAACAACAACAACAGCAACAACATCAACAGCAATCACAAAATCATCATCACACACATCCACCACACCAGCAGCAGCAACAACAACAACAAAGTTAATTAAAATCAAGGAAACTTAATATTATTAATGCATATGTATGTATATTGTACAACAACAACAAACTACCGCCTATATAGAAAATACAACAAACATTGGCGTATTATTATTATTCTTATATATGATATCAACAACATTGCGCGATTAATGTAGTAACTAAAAACTCCAAATAACATTTTTTTAGAATATATTTTTCCTATTTTTTCGAAATTTATTAGATTTAAGTGAATAATAACCGTATCGGAAATTGAAACTCCAGTAATATGATTACATGTTTCCTTAGGAGGGGGTTGATGCTTTAAATTTCTTGGAGGGATTTGGAAAAGAAATAATTGGAGAGAGTATTTCAAATTTAAATATTTTGTAGAATTTTCAAATATGTGGAACGTTATGTTGGGCGCCACTGAATATTAATCTAAATAAATGGCCACGTTTCTTGTTGAATAAAATGTTTAAATTTCGTTAGATTCGACAACATTCGTCGGCGCTTCCTAGGTCTTAAATTTAATTTTTGCCACTTAAATTCCTCAATACTTTTTCGTTGGTCGCCACAGATATGTATCTTTTTGGAGGAATAAAGAAAAGTAAAGAATTGGAGAGAGTTAATTAAAATTAAATATTCTTTACAAGCTCCAAATTTCTCCGACATTACATTGGGCGCCACAAAATAATAACAGAATATTAACTTTTTCAAATTTAAATATTGAATATTCTTTACAAATTCCAAATTTCTCAGACATTACGTTGGGCGCCACAGAATATTAACTTTATTTTAAAAGGTTAAATTTTTATCACTTAAATGCCTTAAAGACGTTTTCGTTGAACGCCGCAAAATTCTATAATTAAGATATAAATCCAATAATATGCTCATAAATCCGGAAGTCTCTGGAGAAAAATCGTTTCGATGCAAACAGGACTGATATTTCTATGTGCAATCATTGTTCCGCTAAGTACTGCAAAATGTCATTAAGATCTTTATCTCCCGAAACAGTATTCGCATAAGGTATTTCATGTTGTAATTCGGATTTTTGTATAATTTTTATTACAAAGCTTCGTTGGTCGCCACTCGAGAATTTTTTATTGTAATACAGTCGAAATCGTTTATAAGACACCATTTATAACAACATATCGGTTATAAAGACCTATCCAAGAGTCCTCAGGAAAGTTCTACCCATTATTTGATATCGTTTATAACGACATATCGTTTATAGCGATACATTTCGCAGGTTCTTCACCGTCGTTATAAGCGATTTCGACTGTGTAGCAAAATAAATTTTCAACGTTAACTTCTCATAGCATCCGAATTTAATTAATTCGTCCCTATTCGTTAAACGGTAAAGATCGTTACTGTGCAATTCGTTGGGCGCCACATATAGCCATCATGATTTTTCAGAAATCAAATATTCAGTAAAACCTTAGACAGCAATATTTCAATATTTGCATTTATACATTCGGTCATAAATTGGACACCAAAACTCATTGGGTGCCACTTAGCAAATATAACAAATTACATTTCAATATAAAACTTCTGATATCACCCAAATATAGGGTCTACAAAGAGTCAAAATAAATGTAATTTATATCCCCCTTTGGATTCATAGATTAGGTTATTTGTTGTGCGACAAAAATCATTGGGCGCCAAATAGGGATTTTAACGCTGATATACACCACAAACTTCTGACATTATTCGAATTTAAGGTCTATTATGTCGTTGAACGCCAAAAATGTTGGGCGCCTAAAATTGTCAACTAAATTTTTCATACATGAAATATTCACTACAATCAACATTGTTTTGAAAATAATTGTCCTGTATATGCGGTTTGGTTGTAATATATGCGGGTTTTTATTGGGCACCAAAAACGTTGGGCGCCAGCTGGGGATCTTACGTTGATAAAACAAATTTCTACCTTGAACTACTAATGCCTATAAATCTATAAATTCGGTTAATTATATGACCACTTAAAACGTTGGGCGCCATTAGGGTATTTTATTGCAGATATAAAAAAATTAAATTTCCTCCCTAAACTTCTGACAGCATACGAATTTATTGCTCATAATTGATCTGTTCCATTACTTCTTTAATAGTGAAGCTAGTAAAAGGGAAACATTTTAAAATCGCTCTCAGAGTACAAAAAAATTTGAATAGTTCGGGAACCCAAATCTAGTAAATATGCCAAAATTGGATAGCAATACTTCACAATCAACATAACAGCCAATCAGAAGTAGGCATTCCTGTTTACCATTTTTACTCGGCCAAATTTCTCGAGTAAAAAGTTTACAAATGGAACGCCATTTTGTATTGTGCTCTCTTAACCCTACGGTCAATAACCAAAAAAGTATACGTAGATCAATAACCGTGGTACATTTGTACCCATCCAAAGATAGCTCTGTAACTCATTAAAAAATTGGACTATCGTGAGGTTTTTTGTTTTAAATTAGTCTATGCGGATCTGGTCTAGATGTAGGAACTCAAAATTATATATACATTAAAATAATATAGATTTAAATCCATGCTTAAATGATAATCTATCTAATACAATCATAGTAAATTCGTTATAGCTTTCGAATGGGTTAAGCTTTTTTAGTTATTGTTTTTGTCCCTGTATACCAAGGGAAAACCAGGGTAGTTTCTGACTTCCACGAGTCGCCCTGATGGCCCCATGTTGTCTAGGGCCACAAAAATTTGCAGAGGAGTTGAGGAACACCTAAATAAGATCCCAATAAAAAATAACTAAAAAAGCTTAACCCATTCGAAAGCTATAACGATTTTACTATGATTGTATTAGATAGATTATCATTTAAGCATGGATTTAAATATATATTATTTTAATGTATATATAATTTTGAGTTCCTACATCTAGACCAGATCCGCATAGACTAATTTAAAACAAAAAACCTCACGATAGTCCAATTTTTTAATGAGTTACAGAGCTATCTTTGGATGGGTACAAATGTACCACGGTTATTGATCTACGTAGGTAATAACTTTAAAAAATTGTAAAAATTATATATATGGAAAATATTTATAATTTTTTTCTTCGATTATGTGTGAAAATACCTCAAGAATGATTCCTCAAAATTTGATCCAAATATCTCCATTATTAAAAATTTGACAGAATTTTTATTCAAAAAAAGGTACAAATGTACCCGGTTATTGACCGTAGGGTTAAATTTGATTCAAAGTTTTACTAGTTTTGTGGGTTGAGGAATGGTTTTCGAGTAAAATGTTGCAAAACTTGTCAAATTAGTAGATTCTTTTAGGTTCTGGAACGGAACTAGTATATGTTTCTATAGCCTTTGCCATTAAACAAAAACTGTTTAATGTGTAATTCGTTGGGCGCCACAAATATCCATCACACGTTTTTAGATATCAAATATTCTCTAAAACCTTAGTCGACAATATTTCACAATAACTGCCCTTTTTTGGATTCCGTGTTGGGCAGCAAAATAGTTTATTTAAAATTAAACCATATATAACGTAGAGCGCCACCACATACGATTTTTTAAATATTTAATGATTTTATTGTTTAAGGTGGCTTCAATTTGTTTTCCTTTTCCAATTATTTTGTTTTAAATCCTACCAAAAATATTAAGCTTCAACACCTTTTCAAAGGAAACACAAATTTGAAAAAAGGTGTCTATTAAAAATATATGAATACAAGAAAAACAAATTTAAATTTTCAAATTTCTTAATGTGTATGTGTTAAAAAAGTAAATATACAAAAAAACACACAATAAGAAAAAAATAAAGTATTTTTTGATAGCAGTATATATATGTATACAAACACTGACTCTATTATATATGTATGTACATTTAACTAGTATATAAACAGTCATTGAGTAAAAAAACAAAAATGATTTGAGAGTAAAAGGTATTTTTTTAAGTTCAACAAAAATATATATAAATATTAACAAAAAACCAACTATGATTCTAAAGGAAAATCGTAAGCAAGAAAAAATATATATTAAGAAAGGAAAAAATGAATAACTTAATTAGTTTTAGTTGCAACTCGTATTAATAATTAAAAAAAAAAATTAAACAAAAAATTGGAAGACTCTTATGGGCAAAAATATAAAGAAAATTATCAAATTAATTATTGAAACCCCTAATCTATAAATTATTGTAATTATTAAAAAACAACAAAAAACCAACCAACTGAAGGTAATGCTTTAACTAAACTGTTAAAAAAAGAAACAAAAACAAACTTAAGAAACAAAGTTTAACTCTTTAAGAAAAACAACTTGTCAAATGTCATTAAACAAAATGCCAAAACTAAAGCTTATATATGAGATATTAAAAATCGAATACACACAAAAATAGTTTATCATATTTTTTTATTTTTGTTTTTTTATTAACATTTCATACAGTGACTCAAAATAAAAAATATTTAGGAAAGACATTTTGAAATAAATATGGAATTTAATATTTTTCAACAAATAATCGAAACAACAATTTATACAGAATACAATTTGTTCAGATTTAAAGGACAATTCCTTAGAAGTACACACATTCTTTCTGACTAAAATTGATTTTATTTTAATTATTAAAAAAGGGACTTTAAAAATTCTCTTAAGGTTATAAACTATCAATTTGTTTTCTGTGGTTACTCTCATGATTTAAATACTATACAAACACCCATTTCAACTCCTTAAAAGTCCGATCGTTTAAATAATAAAAAAAAATCAACTCATTTTATGGAAACTTTTGCCGAGGAATAAAATATTTATTTCCCATTTTATTAAATTGTTATAATTAATTTTTAGATACCTTGAGACCATTTTCAATACTCATTCGGATTGACATCTCTATCCGAACTATTTTACAAAAATCATTACAAATTATCGGAATGAAATAGAATTTCCATAAAAAAGTTAGAAGTTGCTACAATATTTGTATAGAAATGATTCAAAATTCAAAATAATGTTCGATTTTAAATATTACTCAGTATTTATACCCTACACAACTATGTTGTCAGGGTATTATAGCTTTGTGCAGCCCTAAAAGTTTGTAACTTCGCGAAATATTGGTCCTCGACTAGCTGAGTCGATCTAGAAATGT